TCTCCTTCGTTTCCCCTCATGTCCTGTCCTGTCCGAGTCCCCCCAGGACACACATCACACTCAGTCGTTGTGTCCCCTCGGACTCAGACTTCCCTTGTTTCTTTATGACCTTGAGCAAATTGAGGTACCTTGGCCAGGTACTTTGTAGTAGGACTTTTAATTTGGATTTGTCTGCTGTTGTTATCATGGTTAGTCTGGGGTTACAAGTTTTTGTTATAATTTTTTAAACAGAGAAAGAGAAGGCTAGGTACGTGATGTCATAACAATGCAATGGAACACTCAGGCTTATTTTATTTTATTTACTATTTATTGTATTTTTCCTCATAGGCTTTTTTTAAAATGAGGCATTATACACACTCATACGGCAAGATCTCCAAGATATACTCAGGAAAAGAAGGAGCAGGCACGTACATATGATATGTACCTTTCTGTGTGTGTGTGTGTGAGAGAGAGAGAGCGAGAGAACAACTCTGTAACATGAGAAGCCTCGTGTAGAATGTTAGCAAGGTGGGGATTCAGCAAGAATTACTCAGTGACAAAGGCATCCTGATAGGTTCATCCCAGGTGAGAACCTTAGACAATTTCCTGACAGAACGAGAACGTGGAGACGCGAACAAAGAAAATGGTAATGAAATAATCCCAAGTAAGATCCTTGCAGAAACCAGGCGACACAGCCCTCGCCCAGAAGAGGAATGTAACCGAGCATCTGGCACAACTGGTTGCAGCCTCCCGACGAGGGCGGGGGTGTCATGGTCCACAGGTCACGGTCAACCAGCACGGTGTGTGTCCGGGGTGCACCTGGCTCGCGCTGCAGGAGCCGCCGGCCAAGGTCCAGTCCCCTCCCCGGAGTGCACACGCACTGCAGGGTGCTGCCGGGAGGCAGAGCCCCTGGTCATCTCCGGCATGAGAGAGAAGCAAAAAGTAAAACAAAAAAACCCTCCAGGACTGCCAAGAGGTTGCTGTGCTTCCTGGTTGGGATGATAGGGACCATCCCGTCCAACCTTGCAAAAAGCTGAAATTTTAGAATCTTTTTTAGGGTAATTTCTCCCCTCCCGAGCACCATGTATATTATAAGCTAAGCGATAAGGAACAATGCCATTACATTTATTTTTAATTTTTAAAATTATCGTGCAGTAGAGTTGACTCTTTGGGGGGCATACACATACATTTAACCTCAATTTGTTTTTCAAACAAAAGTTGCTCTGCGTTTATTAAGATAAGCCCAGCCGGCTCCATAGGCCATTACTGCCCATTATCACACAGCCAAAGGTTTCCGAGAAGACACGCCAGGACAAGCTGCTCTTGGGACTCCGCGGATTCCAGCTAATCTCCTTAGAAGTCTGACTAATAGCGCCGCCCATGCATCAGGGGCCTTGCCCTTTTCACTTCCCCAGGTGCTTCTGGGAGAGAAATCCCTGGTAGGAAGGAGACAAATAGGCTTCTTTTTAAGAAATGGGAAGTTTGAAAGTGCTGTGCAGGAAGGACGGTGAACCCTTCTGACCGCGGCTCTCACTGTTTTCTGAAGCCGTTGCCGAGACTTCTGCGGTGGGACCGGGGGTGGGAGAAGTGGCGCCTGTAACCAGGCTCCTCATAGCTTTGATCAGCTTTAGGTTTTCTTTTTTCTTTTCTTTTCATTTTAATCCAAACGTTGTTTAGTGGCATGAATCTCCCGTTCATCTTGATTTGGGGTGCTTTAGTGCACCTCCTTCTGAGCAGCCTCCCGGCAGCCTCGCCTCGCTTGTCCCCCTGCAGGCTGGCAGAGCATGGGGGGGGGGGCAGCCAGCACACAGGACGACCGCCCTTTGCATTTGCGCACAGCGAGAGGTGGCGGCGACGTCACAGTATCCCGGGCATTTCCTTCTCACCAGGTGAGAAGTGGGGCTCAGCACCAGGGGCCTCGCCTTGTATCTCCTCTTCTCCTCTGGAGACGGACGAAGGCGATCCTTAGCGAGAGGCGTGTCGTCATGGGGAGGTCTCACCACCAGAAAGGTGAGTTTCTTTCTCGAAGACAAGAATCAGGACTGTATGTTTACCACACCACAATTAGACTGGAGTACTGGTTTGCCGTGAAAGGACAGAATTCAGGAACAGCCGGAGGGCAGAGATGCGGAGGGCGAGCATGAGGGAAGGGGCATGGAGCTTCCACGCCCTCTGAGGGCAGCAGGCTCCCACGCACCCTTGCACATTTCACCAAGCGAGAAGCAACTCATTAATCTCTTACAAGTTCCCATTCTCTGTAAGCCTGTATTGCACAATCTTCAACCTGAGAACTTTGAGTTATAGAGCATGATTTGAACTATGGCCTCAAAGGGTTCTATCCCATGGGGTTTAGAAAGTTTACACGTGATCTCAACTACATGACTTTTACGTAAGCAAATAAAAGGGTTATGTTCCTATGTGTTTAAAAGTTCATGGGGGTGGGGAGAAGGAGGTGCAGGAGGGTGTGGGGGGACACGTGGTGGCAGGCGGAGACTCAGCGTGGGGCGCGGTGAACACACGACACGGGGTGCGGATGGCGTGTTGTAGGGTCGCGCACTGGACACTGCACTGTTCTGTTAACAAGTGTCACCCCGTTACATTCAATAAAAAGGGAAAAGTGTTCCAATCACCGGAGGAAAACATCAGAGAAGAATCACTCGTGGGTGCTAATCAAGTTGATGACAAACAGGATATTTACATAACTCCCCACAGAATAATTAATTACAAAGAGAAAAAGGGTCCACTTGTCAGCGAAGAAACTTCGCAAACACAACCTCCATGCACCTCCTGGATATGATGCACTGGGAGGTAAAGCTTTTTTGGCTTTCGTTACAATTGATGGGCTTAAGTGACAGTGCAGGTGGAAAACTGCTATCGAACTGGAATACGTGAAAAAGGGCGGCCTGAGACGCGATGTTAAGACAGTTTGTAGGGTTAAGACAGTTAATTTTTAAAAAGATTTTGTTTATTTATTTTTAAATAAATAAGAGAGAGAGGAGAGAGGGGGCTAGATAGAGAGGGAGAGAAACATTGATGGGTTGCCTCAATGTCAAAAGCACCCCGACCAGGGGACTGAACCTGCAATTCAGGCATGTGCCCTGACCAGTAATCAACCAGAGGCTGTTCACTTTGCAGGACCATTGCCAACCAACTAAGCCACGCTGGTCAGAGCCTGAGCCAGCTTTTGACCAGGGGAACACAATCTTAACACAGTAGCCAAACAATACGGCATCAGTAACAGGGCCTCCCCCCAGGTACACTGGAGCTTGAGCAAATCATCAGTGTCTTTCCCTTCCCCCCACTTCTTCCCCTCAAGGGAGTCGCCTCTGCCTTTCTGGCTCCCAAACTCCGGGGGCCTACTGCCTCTGTAACATTCTAATAACTTGGAGGAAAAAGGGTAATAATGACCTACTCTAGGTTTAAATTTTTGGTATTTTATTCATTGTAGATTTTTCCTGCATGAGTTTTGATTTTTTTAAAAAAAGTCAAATTAAAATACTATTAACCTTGGCTAACTTTTTGGCACTTGCTTAAATTTTTGTGTTGGAGTGAATGCCTCATTCATCTTACCCTACTCCCAGTACGGAAAAGAACACAGAATTAAATGTATAGTTTTGTGGAGCGGGTGGGGGGAAGGTTCTACGGACAGTGACCTCACCTTTAACTTGGTTAGAGAAAGGGTCTAAGCCAGCCCTGTCCTGTTCTAGTGCATCTGGGTCAACACACCTTTGAAACAAGCACAGCCAGCCTCCACAGAGTGCAGTCCGGTTACCTCGTCTGTAATCGGATGCCTCCTCGCCTTTTCCCACCTCCACGTAATCTTTGTTTTCTCCCCAATTTCATGTGCTGCAAAACTGTGACTGTCTGGGGCAGCTGAGATCTTGCTTCCCCAAATACGGCGTCACTTTGACTCAAATAAACGCTCATAAAAATTCTCTACAAGTTTGGCCATTCCTTACTACGACAAGTTTTGTTTTTTTGTTTTTTGTTTTTAAATGGATTAAGTGTCTTGATTAAAGTTACAAAAGTAAGGGAGATGTAAGGGGGATGGTAATAGTGTACTTTATTATAATGGGATGAAGTCAAAAACTAACGAAAAGGAACAAATAAAAGCATTTAAGTATTTTCAAAATTTTTTAGGAATCACAACTAAGAGCACAACTAATTAACAGTGGCTGTTTCTGAGGATGGGGACCTTTTGTTTTTTTTTATTACAAGTCTTCCTGTACCAACCAGGTTTGTAAACCTTACAACTTTGATGACGACGAAGATGATTGGGCAAATAAAGGTATACGCACAGGGCTACCTCGGTCTCATTGTAAATCCGCGCCCACCCCATCAATCGAGGGGCGCACCCGCAATCCTGCACCCAGCCCCAAGCCGCCCACGCTTCTGGCAGCAGAGACGCCATCAGTTTAACAAAATATAACTGGAGCCTCTCCCCAGTGCTGGTCTCGTCGTCGTCCTTTCTTAATCCAAGGTGGGAATGTTGGGGGAAATCCTACGACTTCCCCTAGCAAAGGCTCCTTCCCGGATGCCTCACCCCTTGACCCCCGATAGGGAGGCGGACCGGCGAGCCCCAAGGCGCAGGCGCACGTTCCCCTATCTTCGTCCCGCCCCTTCCCAACCCCGGCCACCGTGTCCGGGCGTCCCCGCGGCCCTGGGCTTCCCTTTTCTGCCCCGTGTGATCACGTGACCAGGGAGGGGCGACTCACCGAGAGCCCCTAGCGTCCCCGTCTCCCCGCACCTCCGGCCAGTTTCTTGAGCTTTTTCCGGAGACAGCTCCGCGGCGTGGGGGCCGGGGCGTTCGCTCTAGGGCTCCCCTGGCCGAGGGCTGGGGACCGGCCTTCTCGGTGGTCGGCGGGGTCACTGCGACCACGCGAGCGCCGCCGCCACTAGGTTCAAGGTCTTCCGCTCGCCGACTGGCCGCGGCGCCGGAGAAGGGGCGGGCCGGGGGCGGGGCCTCGCGCGGGGTCTGGGCCGGTCCTCCAGTCGGGTCGGCACTCCGGCTACGGACACCCTTCGTCGCCTCCGTCTCGTCCTCCGCCGCCTCCGCTGGCCGTCACGATGAATCCGGACCTGCGCCGGGAGCGGGCCGCCGCCAGTTTCAACCCCGATCTGCTCACGCACATCCTGGACGGCGGTGCGCAGAACACCCGGCGCCGCCGAGAGATCGGTGAGGGCGGCGGCAGGGCCTCCCTCCTTCCCGCAGCCAGGCTCCCTGGATGCGCAGCCTGCGGCTGCTGTAGGGCATAGGCCTTAGGCTGTGGCCCAGCTTTCGGGGCGCAGCGATCCCCAATTCTGGGGGTGTTCTCTGAGGGGGGTGGGGGTGCCCGTCTGGAGCGGGGACCCGTGCTGTGATTCAGGGAGGCGTAACCGAGACCAGAATTTCCGTCTTCCTCTCTGTGCCCTTTAATCGCCTCCAGAGAACCTGATTCTGAACGACCCCGACTTCCAGCACGAGGACTTGAACTTCCTCACGCGCAGCCAGCGGTTCGAGGTGGCTGTCAAGAAGAGTGCCACCTTGGTGAAGAAGATCAGGGAGTTCGGCATCTCAGACCCCGACGAGATCATGTGGTTTAAAAAGTGCGTATGCCCAAGCGTAGACGACCTTTTTTTTTTATCGGTGGTCCAAGCTCCAACTTGAAATCCGCGGTGTGCAGTGTTATCGTGCTTGGCTGGCACTCGAGGTCTCCAGCCGGCACGTTTTCATGCCCCTTGAAAGTTACGTGTATGGAAAGTAACGTTCACTGTTGTATGCACGTAAGCCCTTTAGCGGGATGACACTGCAGCATGCTGGCAATGGGTTGGAGACCTTGCGATTTTCATTCTGAAGGACCGTACAGGTTTTCCGGCCAGGCATCTCAACTCGGGGTGATTTAAATTCAGAATGCCTTTGCTCTGTGCAGGAAGGCAGCCTGCTACATTTAGAAGCGGAATTCAGGAGGAGTTTTCAAAATGTAAATATTTAAGGGTTTTGGATCAATAACGTTTCGGTACGATGGCGTAGATCTTGAGTTTTAGAGAAGGGAGCATAGGGGACGGACGAAGAAGAACGTTCGTTAGTGGACTCTCAGAATGGGCAGGAAGTGTTCTAAGAACGCGGCATTGTCCAATCCGGCGGCGGCAGAGTTTTCGGGGCCCTCCAGTGCCCGTGAGACCCGGGAAGACATCCCACCGGCCCCGTGCCGGGGAGTGCTTCCTTTTTTCAGGCCATCTGTTATTTTTGTTGCTGTTGGGTCTTGGGTTTTGTTTTTTTTTTTGACATTTTTATTTTGTATTAACTTTATTGCGGTGACATTGGTTAATGGGATCATATAGGTTTCAACTATACAGTCCTGTTTTTGTATTTTATTTTATTTTATTTTATTTACTTCATTTTATTTTTTCCATCACCATTTATCCTCCCTCTGCTTTCCCCCTGACTCTCCCCCACAGTCACCACAGCAGCCTCGTTTCTTTTTTTTTTTCCTCTAATTTTATTTTAATCGTTGTTCAAGAACAGTTTTCTGACCTTTAGTCAGCAGTCTCGTGTCTTAATTGGAAGAAGACGCCCTTAGTTTGGGCCTTTATCTAAATAAACATTTTTTTAAAGATTTTATTTATTTATTTTTAGAGAGGGAAGGGAGGGAGATAGAGAGAGAGAAACATCAATGTGCGGTTGCTGGGGGTCATGGCCTGCAACCCAGGCATGTGCCCTGGCTGGGAATCGAACCTGCAATGCTTTGGTTCGCAGCCCGCACTCAGTCCACTGAGCTACGCCAGCCAGGGCTTAAATAAACATTTTTTTAGAACTCCAGTATTTTCATTAATAAAGATTAAATGATACGCATTGTGTATACTCAAGAGCCAAGAAAAAAAATGGAACACATTAGAAGTTCTGCCTTTATGTAGCGATGGTCCCCCTCCCAAACTGCTACTGCCTCTAGTGCCTTCGGTTTCTGGTAATTTCAGCTTTACCTGGTTATCGTTGTCAAGATGAAAGAATTTACTTTGGCCCTTAGCACGACCCTCTGCATTCCCTTCCATTCTAGTTATAAAAATCCAGTTAATTTATTTTTGGTAGCCCAAATCAGAGTACTTAATAACTTCCAAACTTTTAAAAAGATTTTATTGCTTTATTTTTATAGAGAGGAGAAGGGAAGGAGAAAGAGAGGGAGAGAAATATCAATGTGTGGTTGCCTCTTGTGTGTCCCTACTGGGGACCCGGCCCGCAACCCAGGCATGTGCTTCAGCTGGGAATCAAACTGGCGACCCTTTGGTTCACAGTCCACGCTCACTCCACTGAGCTACCAGCTCTTTTTTTTTTTTTTTTTAAAGTTTGTAACTCGTGGCTGTGGGAATATGGAAGTAGAGCAGCAATTTTTAATATTTTTCTTCTCATGGCACACGTAAACTAATTACTAAAATTCAGCAGCACGCCAAAAAAAACTTATATTTTGTCGATCTAACAAAAAAAAGGTATAATTTTAAGTCATTCATACCAGATAGCTGTTACTGTGTTGGCTTTTTTTTTTTTATTATTTGACAGTCTAAGGGAAAAGAGGTCAGTGACCCCTGACTAAACAATTGCATAAATATTGCATGTTTTAAAAATTCTTTCTGTGGACCTGTTGAAAATGGCTGAGGTTGAGCAACTCCTGGATTAATGTCTCTGAGTAATCCCAGTTGGGTTTGCAAACCTTAAAATTACTAGTAAGATTTTATTCCTAAAAATGATTCAAAAAGGGATTTATTTTGTTTTGCTTTTAACATGGTTGATGCAATGTCGTTCAGAGTTGGTTAGCAGATGTCATTATCTGTGGGGGGGGGGGTGACCAGGCTCATTCGAAGTCACAAGGAAATAGAACAAAGTCCTTTACGGGGGTCAAAGTTGAGTGGACACCAGCCAGTTGTTTCATAAGGTAGACCTTCAATACCCGCTTTGACATCCTTCCAATATCTGTGGAACAGGACAGGGAGATGGACTTCGGTTAAGAGAAGGGCATGGAAGGTAACCTTGGCAATGTATGAGTGCCATCAAGCCTAAGCCTCCTGTCAGTGGAAGCTCCCGCCCGTGTTTCATAGACATTAAGAAAGTTAACTAGGGCATAGCCTAAATGATGAGGTACATCAGATTTCTTAAATGCTAACATTGGGGTGGGGACGTGCTAGACGTGGTAGAAAACAGTCATTTTTCTCTGTCTGAGGATCTTGAGCATTTGCTGGTCTCTTGAACATCCATTTCTCCCATCCAAACACAGCTCTCTCGTGAGAGGGTTTTTTTTTTTTTTTAAAGATTTTATTTATTTATTTTCAGAGAGGGAAGGGAGGGAGACAGAGAGAGAGAGAGAAACATCAATGTGCGGTTGCTGGGGGTCATGGCCTGCAACCCAGGAATGTACCCTGGCTGGGAATCGAACCTGCGATGCTTTGGTTCGCAGCCCGCACTCAATCCACTGAGCTACGCCAGCCAGGGCGTGAGAGGGTTTTGAAGTTGACTAAATACTAGTAAAGTACTTTGAAATTTCTCAACTTGAGCAACAAAAGAACTTTTCAGTCCTTGAAGAAAAAAAAAGAAGACCTTGCTGTTGAGAAAACATAAAAGTTATTTTCCTGATCTCCTTTCCTGTAATTTTGTCTGTTAATTAATATTGTTTCCTATTGAAAAAACTAAATGTTCTTGAGACTAATTTAAAAAATTTTTTCTTCAAGATTTTATTTATTTATTTTTAGAGAGACAGAAGGGAGGGAGAAAGGGGAGGCAAGAAACATCAGTGTGTAGTTGCCTCTCATGTGCTCCCCACTGGGGACCTGGCCTGCACCCCAGGCATGTGCTCTGACTGGGAATCGAACCGGCAGCCCTTTGGTTTGAAGGCTGGTGCTCAATCCACCGAGCCACACCAGCCAGGGTTCATTTAAAATTCTAATGAGAACCAGCCCTTCTTAGGCCTTTAAAGCCAGTTTCTTGCAGAGTGTCTTCAGGAAGGATAAAACGTAACTTAGAAACAAGCGCTCCGACTTTGTTCTTGAGTGGATTTTCAAGTGGCCTCAAAACGAAATCTCAGTTTGTTCTGAAGAGCGTAAACATTGGGCCGTCTTTCCTTTGTGTCACATCTTTTCCCCTCCCCGGGTCCTCGAGTTACCTTGTGCCCGTGTCACCTCATAAACCCAGAGCCTCGGCTCCCTCGTGGAAGTCGGGGTGTCTTCCGTTTCCACCACGTTTAGCGCCTGCATGCCTGCTTGTATTTCTCGGAAACTCCTGTAGGCCCGTTACCTCTTTTGGTGAGATGGGGGTATGGGGGGGTGCCGTGGCGCCTCTGAGAAGGACTCCTGTGCTCAGCTGCTCCTTGGGCGCGGGCCCCCCTTCGGGGGGGGCCGGGGTGGTGTGTTTTGGGAAGTACGGTGCTGTGCTGCAGGGCGGCCGCAGCCAAGAGCCGCTCGCCCGAGTTACTGGGGAAGCAGCTCACCTCTCCTGATCACTCACGCTCCTCCTCCCCCTCCCGGCACTCAGTTTCAGCGAACACCTGATGCTGCTGTCAAAACCCTAGAACTTCGGCGGTGGCTGGCCAGCCGTTCCGTGGGTGTTCGGGGCAGTCCTGGCGCTGCTGAAAGGCGGCCTGCCACCCTAAGCAAACGTGGGGGGGCGATTTCAGAGCCCCGGCGAACGTGAATTGGCAGCGTACCCCCTCTGTCCTTGCATTATCCACGCTCTGCTTGGTGTGCAGACCCGGATACACTGTGGGGGGGCCCGCCCCCTCTTCTTCATCCCTTGAGAGCCCACGGGCATCCCTTACGTTGTACCTCACGCCCTTCGACGGGTGGGTGGATGGAACAGAGTGGACCCCTGTGTATCTACCGTGCAGCACAGCCACCAAGGCTGCCCGCGTCCTTTCTGTTTTGACTATTTCCCAAATTCTGTTTTAGTAGAAGAAAATAGTTGAAGACTGAATGTCCCAATGATTAGAGTTCCCTAACGCAGAGGGATGGTGTAGAGACCATCGGCGGTAAATGGGCAACGCGGTCACGCTGCCTCCGACCCCTCTGTGCTCCGGCCTGGCACACCCATTTGCCGCCTGGGGGCCGGCCTCGGTCGCCCAGGAAAAACCGTTTCTATTCTTCCTGCCCTTGTTTGCATTTGTGATATTTTATTATGTGTCTTTAAAAGAACTCTGTTTTTAAAATAGACACCATACAGGAAAAATTAACAAATTATTATTTTTAAAAGATTTTATTTATTTATTTTTAGAGAGGGAAGGGAGGGAGAAAGAGAGAGAGAGAACTATCAATGTGCGGTTGCTGGGGGCCGTGTCCTGCAACCCAGGTATGTGGCCTGACTGGGAATCGAACCCGCAACACTTTGGTTCACAGCCCGCGCTCAATCCACTGAGCTACGCCAGCCAGGGCTTACAAATTATTTTGATTTTTTAACTGAATGTATTGGGGTGACTTGGGTTAATAAAATTATGTAGGGTTCAGGTGTACAGTTCTATGAGACACTGTCTGCACATTGTGTGGTGTGCTCACCACCCCAATCACGTCTCCTTCCTGTATTATTCTTTAGGAGCTCTTGCTAACAGAGCTACAAACAGGTGTTCTATGGAATTCTTTTGACTTTTTTAAAACAAAACCTGAAAATAAAGCAAAAAATAAAGACACACTCCAAAAAAAAAAAAATCTAACCAACAAAACCAAAAGCAAAAAGGTGTTTTTAGGCTAAAATGAAAGTAGAATTTGCTTCCTGGAAAAAGTACAGACTTAAAGACGAGTTCTGGCCCCGAAGTGACAAGGGGCAGATTCTGCTGCTGGCTTCTGAAGTGGTGAAATGGTCCAGTGTACATTTAATTTCACAGGAGAGGGGCTTGAGTTTCCCTAACCTCCGTCCTGAAGGCCCCGTCGCCCGGCAGGAGGGGGCGGTAGAGCGCAGTGTCCGGAGTGAGGCTGAGACCCTTCTCTTTTCTCTCCTGTAGCGTCCGTAAGATCAATTTTGTGGAACCCGTGTCCGTCCATTTCTCCATGTTTATTCCCACCTTGCTGAATCAGGCCACCCGTGCTCAGCAGGAGAAATGGCTGGCTCCCGCCCGAGGATTCGAGATAATTGGCACCTACGCCCAGACGGAGCTGGGCCACGGTTAGTCCACACCCGGCGGTCGTGGGTCACCCCCCTCAGGACTTCCATGAACAGACGACTCCTGGCGTTGGATTTTTTTTTTCCTGCTGCTGCACATTTAAGAATTTATTTTTTTTTAATTGTTCAATCTTAGAATTCAGCTCCTTGTCCCGCGCAGCAGCGCCCCGTCAATGGGTCCCAGACTCTGGCCTGAAATGTGTTTTCTTGTTACCTGCCTTTGCTCCCATACGCCCATTTTGAAATGTGCCAAAGTGCCCCGTTGTGCTTGTGTCAAATTATGAGTCTTTTTTGGCAATTCCTGAGAGAATTGACGCCTCTGCATCCGGTGATGCCTCTGCTTCCGTGAAGTTAGCAGTGGGTTTTGATGGAGGCAGAGGGTGCGAGTGGTTCGCTGTCTTACCCTTTCTTTGCCCACCAGTGGGCTTATAAGGTGGTTCGGGAAAAGTTACGATTCTCTTTGTTTCCTTTCTACATCTTCTCTGTACACGTCCGTGGACTTTGCGTTACAAATACTTCTTGGTTAAATTGTTCCTACAAAAGCCTGGCTACTTGAAAAGTTTGCGTCCGGTCTCGATGTGAAGTAAGTTTGTTTTCGTGGACGAGGCCATCGGCGGGTTTGTGTGTCTTGCATTCCTGCTGCTCAGTCTCAGTCCTAATTATGTGGCTTCTGTTATGTAGATAGAGGAGAGGAAAGTAAGGGAAACGGGGAAGGATGCAGGGATCGGGAAAGTTCCGTTTTTGTGTTCGATTTGGTGCATTTTGATTTGTGGCTTGGTTTAAGGAAATGCCTTTCGTCGTAACCCCTGGCGGGGCTGCAGACTCTGGCTTGCGGTGTTCTGAACACCTCGTCGAACACCCAGGACCGGAGCTGCAGGGCAGTGTTGCAATGACGAGCCTGAAGGAAAGAGTCCCCAGAGAAGGAAAATCACATTTACACAGTCTTTCTGTCTGGGAGGAGGGCGGCCGCCGGGGTGGGAGGGAAGAGAGAGAGAGAATGTCTTGAAATAGCTTTGGGGTTCTGAGTGGGTCTGGTGTGTGTCTCTCATTGGCATAATCTTTCTGCCCCTCTTTGTAAAGTACGTTCAAAATATATGTATTTGCCCTAAGTTTTGAAGGAAGAAAGGGAGAGGTAGAGACGTGACCTTCACTGGCTTGCGGAGTCCAGAACTTGGACTGAAGGTCCTGGGTTGCTCTGGGCGAGTTTGCATGTTGGAGCTGTCTTTCCCCGTTGCTTCTGGTTTTTGGATATTTTCTGGTGTTTGAGCCAACTTTGTCTGAATTTCTACAGTTTACTTTAGAGCAGAGATTTTCAACCGGTGTGCCACAGGAATATTTAAAACACGTAACACCTGCCAAGTCATGGACATTGACCTCTTTCCCCTTCAATTGTCCAAAAACAAACAAACAACAACAATCACCACCGACACAATAACCCTCCAGTGTGAATGAATTAAAAATATACCTGGGGGGAGGAGGGTGTCGGGGATTAATGGTAATGGGAAACAATACAACAAAGATTAAATGAAAATAAAAATATAACTATTTTTTGTCAAGTCAGCAAAAAATACATTTTTTCGGTGTGCCGAGGCACCTCAGTAATGAGTGTGCGTGCGCCGTGGGGTGGGAGGGTGGAGGTCGCAGCTTCAGAGAACAGCGTGGCCAGGCGGGGTCTCGTTTTCCGCTGGAACCTCGCCAGCGCGTTGCCGTGGGTTCTGCGTCCTCCGCGGCCGTTCCCTCCCGGGGAAGCGGTCAGTTTGTCAGAGAGTGCCCCCGTGTGCCAGCGCAGCCCTGGACAGAGGACATAGAACGTCCTAAACGTCGCAGGGGCCGGCAGTAGAGCAGCTGGTTCAGGATGAAGGTTGGACTATTTAAATTCTGAGCCTTTGGAAGTTATTTTATTATCTAAAGTGTTCTCACAGCATTGGCTGTAACTTTGAATCAGGGATTCTTTTTTTCCCTAAAAGTCTGTTTTTTTTTTTTAATTTTCTTATTGTTTATTGATTTGTTTTTCCATTAATGTGTGCATTCATTGGTTGGTTCTTGTATGTGGCCTGACTGGACGTCGAACCCGCAACCTTGGCGTTTTGGGAGGAAGCTTTAACCGACTGAGCTCCGCGCCAGGGCAAGGCTGGGACTCTTGCCTCTGGGTAGCCCCTGAGCAGCAAAGGGACTCTGTAGTGCTTGCTCATGCTCATTCCAGGATCCTCAGGAATCCTCAGATCCCGTCACTGCCTCTGGATTGTCTCCCGTCCTCTCAGCGCACCTGTCCGCATGGGCGTGCACATTCTGACACCTGGTGTGTGGGTCTGTGAGCCTTAATCAGAGGCCAAGGTCAGGGCCCAGGAAGGCGCCCTGTCCCTGGGGTTGGCTGTTGAAGGGACAGCCGAGAGCGTGGTCCAGCGTTAGTCATCCTGCCCCAGGCCACAAAGCAGGTAGTAAGCGTGTGTGGTCTTTACAGACCTGTGATCATTCCGAGTTTTGGTCACTTGGTGGTTCTTCCCATGTGTGTTGTTACTGATGTTATTAACATTAAGGAAAATGGAGCTTATACAGTACATAGTGATCGTCTTTGAAGGCGGCGCAGTATCTTTGCAAATTCCCATCACTAATATGCAAATATGAAATAAAGCACCTTCCTTCCTCTGAAACTTGAAAAATGGTGAACTTGACTTCGGAAGTCGCTGATCTTCCTGCCCCTGTAGCCTCACTGCGCCGTCTCCTGCTCCCCTACTTTTCCGGGGTGAGCCTCTTTGCTGTTGTCGGGGTTCCCGTGAGACCTGCTCCCAGTATCCGGGCTACTCTGATTTCCCCACTCTTATAAATAACAATATCAACTTCTTACAAAAACTGTGTTCTGCCCTGGCTGGCGCAGCTCGGTGGATTGAGCGCGGGCTGTGAACCAAAGCGTCGCAGGTTCGATTCCCAGTCAGGGCACATGCCTGGGTTGAAGGCCACGACCCCCAGCAACCACACATTGATGTTTCTCTCTCTTTCTCTCTCTCTCTTTCTCCCTCCCTTCCCTCTCTAAAAATAAATAAATAAAATCTTTTTTAAAAAATTAAAAGAAAAACAACCGTGTTCTCTAGGGTTATGTCTTTAGAATGTCTCAGAAAGGAATTAGTGCATGGAAGGAAATGAACATCTTATAGCTTGCGTTGCATAGTTCAAGGCTTTTCCTGAAACACAGACCCAGCTTCTAACATATTCAGCGACTGTTAGCATACACGCATTTCCATGGCCCCATGCACGTGGTTACTCTAATTTGGTTTTGCTACGGTAGTACTGTCTAAGAGTTAAGAGTTTTAATTTTCCAATGCTAGCAAGCCTGGATATTATTGCATGTTTTGGTTTACTATCTGCATCTTGTATAAAACTGGAAAATCTTGTAAAATTAGTTTTTTTCCTTTGAGTGCTGATTAAATGGAATATGAATGTTGATCATATATGATTATGTTTTATCCTTCCAATTTTTTTATTGGCTTCTGTTTCTTTAAACATTTTGGTTGTATGTATTTAACACATCCTTCTCTGAGTAGGTGTAAGTTTTCTGTTTCCTACCAGTTCTGTTTGACACATGTTTCAATGCCTTGACTTGTGTGTGCTGCAGAGTGATGAATGAATCCCATACTGTTTTTATGTTTCTTAACGATTAGCCTATTTTCCATTCTTATGTTCTTTCTAGCTCCCCGTGGAGTGTTATAATAGTTTCCATTTATTTCTGGAATCTTAAATATATTGCAATGATTTGTTTCTTCCTTTGGCTTTCTCCTATCATCATAAACTTGGGCTCATTGTTACTTAGTAAGATCTGATAAGATCTGATAAGTAAGATTTACAATCTGATAGGAGAAGCCTACTATTGTGACATTTCAAGATACAAGTATTTGGTTTTCTTGCATACTTATTCTTCCAGACGAGTTCTGATCTCAGTTTGTCAGGTCGTAAAATATACTCTACAGGAATTTAGAATCCATATTCCATTAAATCCTTTTGTTTTCTTGGGAAGTATTAACTTTATGGTCCTTTCAGCCAAGAATTAGCTATTTCTTTCCTGTATTCTTTTATTTATCCTACTAGGTATATATTTTTTCCTAATTAAATCTTTAACATCCTGTTACTTAACACATTTTAAATCTAGGGTCTGGCACAAGTAATGCCCCTTTTTTATTAAATAAAATCCTTTATTACGAAATCATAAGCATGTAATTCTGTGGCATAACAATATCACACTCAAGCCCACCATAGGACATTTTAGGTGAAGCTTTCAGATTCAGATTGCTGTCCACCTCGTGCGAGACCCTCGCACACCCTACCGACCACACTCAGGCAAGCCTTACTGCTGCTGGACCCTGCTTTTGTAAAACTCCTCGGTGGGGTTTCTACCTGAAGGGGCTTTAATGCATAAGAATGCAGTGATGATTTTTTTCTTAACAGCTTACAGCTTTTCTAAAATCAGGTGTTCGTGATGGCTTTACTTTTGTTTCTTCCTTTCTCATCCATCACTAACCGAATCACGTCTGCGGCATTGACGGGCAGCCTCTGCGGCCCCGCGCCACCCAGAAAGCAAGCCCGGGGAGGCCTTCGGTGCCGTGGTTTGGGAAGAATTCACTCTAGCTCTTCCCCAAGTAACATGCTGGTGCTTTGTCATTGTAAAATCAATTAATACTAATGTAGAATCTTTTTTTAAGATTTATTTTTAGAGAGAGGTAAAGGGAGGGAGAAAGACAGGGAGAGAAACATCAATGTGTGGTTGCCTCTCACGTGGCGCCCCCTCCTGGGGACCTGGCCTGTAACAAGGCATGTGCCCTGACTGGGAATCCAACCAGCGACCCTTTGTTTGCAGGCCAGCACTCAGTCCACTGAGCCACACCAGCCAGGGCATAATATAGAATCTTTACATAACTAACTTGTTACAACAAATGTTTAAGTCAAAAAATTATCTAGGTCGCTTTCTCCTTGTGACATATCTAAATTCCATCCACTTCTGAATAATCTTAGTCACAGAGACGTTTTTCTCCTGAAAACATTCTTCAGTCTCAAAACAGTTTCTGACTGTAGTGGTTTCACCTCTGCCCTACTGCGTGTATTGTGCGGTCGACCCCTGGTACTATTCCCTAGGGCCACACACTGCCGCCGCGCCTCCCGCGTGTCTGATGGCTGTGTCCAGTGGCCTTCCCGTCACCGGGCGCCACGTCGGTTTCTAGTAATGCGGATTATCGGTGCTGGACGTGGCTGGGCGGGCCCAGGCCGCAGTTTTCAGTCCTAGTTCAACGAGTTTTCTCTCTTTTCGGGTCCTAGGTGTACATTTCTTTTTCACCCTAGTTACCATCCTTTTAAAAATGGGACCATTGGCATTCCCAAGTGTGAGTGAAAGGCACTCTGTTGTCCCACAAATGTATTTTGCTTTAACTTTGTATTCTGACATGATCACAGATTCGTAGGAAGTTGCAGCAGTAGCCTGGAGCCGTGCCCTGGACCTTTCATCCAGTTTCCGCCCGTGGTCCCGACGGACCGGCGCTTCCCGGGGCAGCCCGGGTCTGGCAGGTCTCTGCTGTCCTCGGCCCAGTGGCAGCAGATGAGGCGATGTGACCAGGCGACGAATCTTTTTTTCTTTCTTTCTTTTTTTTTTTTTTTTTAGAGAGAGAGAGACAAACATCAATTTGTTGTACTTATTTATGCACTCATGACTTGATTCTTGTGTGTGCCCTGATGGCGGGGGTGGGGGAGAAGCTGGGAGGGGACCTACAACGTTGGCGTGGTGGGACAATGCTCTAACCACCTGAGCTACCCGGCCAGGGCTGGGCGGTCAAGTTCTTGTCCTTCTTTTGCCATGGTCTTACTGTCTTGCAGGCATCTAACTCATCTCAGTCTTGATTTCTTTGTAAAATAAGTCAGTTGCACATTCTTTGTTTTGTTTTGTTTTGTTTTGTTTTTTAATGTGATTGGTGATTGGCTAGCTGAGAGCACAGCCCCCCAGCTGGAAGACAGGCTGGGTTGGCCTTTGACTGAGCAGTGGGCCTTCCTCATGTTCTTCCTCACCTCATACGGGACAGATGGGAAGATCTTGAAACAAGTGTTTCTAAGAGTAATTGAAGAGTAAGAGTAATGTAGAGTTGATTGACTTAAAGCTGCAAGCTCAATAGAATACAAGTGACATAAAAAATACAAGGGCAGCCCTGGCTGCTGGTGTGGCTCGGTGGATTGAGTGCAGGCCTGTGAGCCAAAGGGTTGCTGGTTCGATTCCCACTCGGGGCACATGCCTGGGTTGCAGGCCAGGTCCTTGGTTGGGGGCATTTGAGGGAGGCAACCACACATTGATATTTCCCCCCCTCTCTTTCTCCTTCCCTCCCCCTCTCTCTAAAAATAAATAAAATATTCTAAAAAATAAAAGATAAAAAAATACAAGGGCATATAGAAGGCATGCAAATCTATTTCCTATTAAAGACACTCACACAGAAGTCTAAGGCACCTGCAGATTTTAAATAGGACAGAATGATTTTAGAAAGTGGAATTAAAGTGACTACTAAGATGCTTATTATCATTAGTGACAAGTCCAATAAGTTGTAATGGAGAGCTTGTTAGGCATAAATCTATGATTTGTAGTTACTGTGGTCTTCACTAGAAATTGCATGTCTTTTTAATTTCTAAAATGTATTGGGGTGAAGAGCACTGTCAGTTTTTGTATTAAGTTGTCCCAAAGGCACGTGACTAGATATTTATGATGAGCCGGAATGAAATGGCCAGAGTTCGTGGAGGAAGGTGGGTCCGGGCCGGACGTCCGCGGCCGGAAGAGGTCCCAGCCAGCTCCTGTGCCCTGTCTCGGCCGCTGGTCGCAGGGAAGTGTTGTTCAGCCGAAATTCTGCATTCCCTGCAGCCTCTTTAGATTTTCATTTCCTTTGATTTCGTGGCAAGCCTGGAACCCTCTGCCTTGCTCGCATGGTTTTTGGCTGCACGGGCTTCGGAATCGGCAGCCCCGCTCTGCCAAACTGGATTGTTTTAGAGATGAGGAGTGTGCGACAATACTCTGTGCCCGCTCAAAAACAAAAACAAAACAAAACGGAAAAGGCTGAGAAGTATAAAGTAATACAGAAAGGGTCAGTGCTCCCGTATGTGGTAAAGTCAACCCAGGTAACCCGTCCTTACAGAGGTTTGTGGGTTTTTTTTCTTCCCTTGCTCTGTCTGTCCACACTGCTGATCTCTCACGCCCTGCCTTTGGTATTCCTTCGAAGCTTTGTGCACCGAGGGCCGTCGCCTCTGGATCTCCACTTGGGCATGTTCCTGCCCACCCTGCTCCACCAGGCGACTCCGGAACAGCAGGAGCGCTTCTTCATGCCCGCCTGGAACTTGGAGATCATTGGCACTTACGCCCAGACAGAGATGGGTCATGGTACGGTGCATTCGGTCTGCCTTCTGGGTCGGGCGGGGCGCTGCGGGCTTACTTAGCACGCACGGAGCGCCCGCCGCGGGTTCGCGAGGGCAGTGCCGCGAGCCGCGCGTGAGCTGTTTAAATGCGGCTTCTCTGCGGAAGCCAGGTTCCTCAACACGCAAGTCTTGGCAGAAACGTTGCTTTGGTCAGTGAAAACGAAAGGTTCCGTTATCGAGATACATGCTGATTTTAAAAAACAAATCGCTTCCCCTTCAGAAGGTCAAGTACAAGCGAGGCCTTACTAAGTGGCTTTCCGAGCGCCCGAGGTTGCGTAGAACGTGCGTGCGTACGGAACCCGACCCCATCCTTTTCCTTCGTCACCCTCTGAGTACCCTCCCTGCTGATCCGTTAGGGAACTTGCAGCAGTTGCAGGAGAAATACAGATTCACAGTCTGTGTGCTCTTTGATTTGCTGGTGGGAAATGAGGGGCTTATTGGGCCACAATACGCTGCATTTTATACCTGGAAGTGATTCTGTGCCCGAGTCAGTCAAGGCAGTCAAGCTCTGCAGGTGGCTCAGCCGGAGTTCAGGAAGGGGAGCTGAGCCGCGCCCGCAGGCCGTGGGCCCCCATCTGTGTGCACCACCTTTTCTCTTCCCGCCCCCCTCCTGCCCTCCTCGGCCTGTTCCGAATTCGTGTCTGTGCCTGCCATTCACCTGCTTTGGCCCCTCCTTTTCTCCCCGGAAGTTTCAGGTCAGCTGGTCTAATGGGTATTTGCCATTCGCTCCTTCCCTCTCTGGGCCTTCATCCTCATTTCACAGCTGCTTTGGCTTTTAGCTCTGGTGCTGAACAGTGCTCTACAGGGTTTTCAAGACTCAGTGGAATGCCATTTTAAATGCTTCGTCTGTGCATTTAAAAACATTCTGTCATAATCTGTTCTGGGAACGGTGTCTTGTTTTCTTAAAAAACTGCTTCTTTTGTGAAAGGAGTCTAAGTGTCTGTTTCCTGGACTCCCACCTGGGGCAGGTTGTTGGTTACACTTGAATGGGCCTGGTCTGTTTCCACCTGGTTTCAGAGCTTGAGTGTTCAGTGGGATCTGTGTTGGAATTTAAAACACGACTCCCCGCCCCTCTTCGATAAACACCCACCAGCCTGGACAAAGTCACCGTTCCAGGTCTTTTCCCCTGCCGTAGTCACACCTTTTTAAGATCTTGTTTTCCCTTCTGGCAACCAATCTGCAATAAATTCTCCGTTTACAAGGCCTTTCCCTGGAGTTTCCCCCGTCACACGCTGTCTTATTCTTGTCGTGGGTGTGGCAGACACAATCGGAGGGGTTCAAATTGGCATGCTCACAACTTAGGGACGGTTTAAAAGGGCAGTTAACGTTCCTGCGAAATTCGTGTCCTGTGATCTTGTGAAACTGTGATTCTAAGTTGCCGTCCCATGTTCTTTTGCTTGATCTAAGTAAATATTACCTGACATAAGGACAGGAAATTATGGATCTTAGTTCAGCCATTTGTGGCTCATCTAAAAACATTTCACTGTTGTCAGATTGTGTTATTCTGTGAGACGTTGGACCTTTAGGCAGGGGTGTCAAACCTCTTTTCACTGGGGGCCACGTCAGCCTCACGGTGGCCCTCAAAGGGCCGAATGTAATTTCAGCTCCTTAACGGTTAAGGAGTAGTGACATGTATACAGTCCTAAAATTATTCGGCCCTTTGAAGGCCACCAAGAGGCTGATGGGGTCCCCGGTGCAAATGAGTTTGACACCCCTGCCTTAAAGAACTGGACAGGCGCCTTTACCCCCTGTACCTACTTTCTCCCATAGTCTATTTCCTGAAGTAAATGTAATTCATTTCCTTAGGAACTCATCTTCGAGGCTTGGAAACCACAGCCACGTACGACCCTGAAACCCAGGAGTTTATCCTCAATAGCCCGACTGTGACCTCCATCAAGTGGTGGCCTGGTGGACGTAAGTGAATCTTCTTCCCGTTTTGGATTGTTGCAGATTCATTATAAGATCACGTTTAGGATGTGGAGCTCATGTGAGAATATGATTTTACAGGGGTTAAACCGTTCTAAGCTATTCGGCGTCTCACGGTCCCTCGTGGTCCGTGTTCCGGGTATTGGTACGTTTGACAAGGCGCAGAAGGACAGCGGTCTCCCTCGCTTTCCTTGGTTTTCGTCCGCACGTTTCTGTGTCTTAGCAAGTTCCCACTGTCGCCATCTAAAGTAACTGTATTCCCTGTTAGGTCAGTCATTTCCATACTGAAAATGCTTGAGTTATTTTCAAATTTTTATTGTGAGAGTAAGTTTGACACGGAACTTATTTAATATCTTGCCTCCTGAGTCATTGTCTTAGGGTTTATATTTTGGATGATGTTAGTTAGCGCTTGAAGGAGTTTGCTACTCACATTGTGTATTTTAATTGCACCATTACGTCTTCATGAGAAAAAACTAGCGTGCTCAGAGAAGACAGGTGTTTCTGGGTGTACTGACCCAAATCTCCCCGAGCAGCTCCGGCGCACAGACCCCTCCGCGGCGGTGGGCACGTGCTCCCCTCTGCCGCCCAGCATGGGGCCGCTGGCCGTGCACACCTGCTGAGTGCTGGAAGTGTAGCTAGCTGACCAGGGAATCTTTTAGTTAATTATAATTAATTTAAATGTAAATAGCCCCATGTGGCTTGTCGCTACTGTTTTTGGAAAGCACCCCCTTAAGGAAGTGATGTTCTTATGGCTACCCTGTAACTATGTTCTGTAAATGAATAGGGAAGAAAGCAGAGCTGTCTTTTCAAACGGGTGGCTGCCGAATCAGCCTGCGGCACACCTGGAACGTACCGGTATCTGGGTAGTTACCCCATCAGGATCGCTCCACCCACAGCCCACGAGTTTCAGTACCTGCCCGCTCAGGTGGACTCGCTCCTGGAAGCAGGGCGTGGCGCTGCCCTGAGACCGGCTCTCCACGCGCCCTTTACGGGTGGAGGCCCGTGTTCTGGTTCACGGACGTTCTTCCCCCTTCTTTCGCTCCTGTCCTTTGAACACGGAGGATGGTTGCTCACTTCTCTCTCTCGTTTCTTCGACGCTGCAGTTGGCAAGACTTCAAATCATGCGATAGTGCTTGCCCAGCTCTACACCAAGGGGAAGTGCTATGGATTGCATGCCTTCATTGTGCCCCTTCGAGAAATCGGGACCCACAAGCCTCTGCCAGGTTAGAATCGTCCCGATGACATTGGGGAGAAAACTGAAACCCAGCGCTTTTCTCCTGCGAAACACACCACACACAACTGAAGGGGAGTGGGGACAGCTGGGGGTTCCTGAGCGTAAACGCCTGGTGGCTTTCCTTTCTGCTGAGGTAGGCATCACCGTTGGCGACATTGGCCCCAAATTTGGCTATGACGAGATGGATAATGGCTACCTGAAGATGGACCATTACCGAATCCCCAGGGAAAACATGCTGATGAAGTACGCCCAGGTATGTCAGCACACGGGCGGGGGCAGGGGTGTCCAGCTCGGGGGTTGCTGAGGCTGCTGGTACCCCCGGGGTCAGGAGGGTCTGTCTCTGGAAGGTCATAGCGTAGTTTTACCTCTGATGCTTCTTTTACGATGAAACTGGAGGCCGTTGGCGGGAACAGAGAGCACAGTCTAGTCTGCCAGACCGGCCCCCTCACACTCCAGGGCGCGTCAGAGTCGCCTGGAGGGTTGGCTGACACCCAGATTTCTTGGCCCTCAGTTTCTAATTGAATAGGTCAGTGTGGGAACTGAGATTTTTTTTTTTTTAAGATTTTATTTATTTACTTTTAGAGAGGGGAAGGGAGGGAGAAACACAGATCGGCTGCCTCCCGTCCACGCCCCGACTGGGGGCCACACCTGCCACGCAGGCATGTGCCCTGGTCTGGAATTGAACCAGCGACCTTTTGCTTTGCGGGATGATGCCCAACGCACCGAGCCACGCCGGTCAAGGCAGGACTGAGGTTCTATATTTCCGACGAGTTCCGGGGCAAAACCAGTGCTGCTGCTCTGGCGACCACACTCTGAGAGCCACTGGCCTGAACGGTGTCGCGGGTTTCACGGAAGGAAGAAGCATCAGTCCCGTGTCCTTTCTCCAGGTGAAGCCTGATGGCACCTACGTGAAACCCGTGAGCAACAAGCTGACCTACGGGACCATGGTGTTTGTTAGGTCCTTCCTCGTGGGGGAGTCTGCTCGCGCCCTGGCCAAGGCGTGTACCATCGCCATCCGCTACAGCGCCGTGCGGCGCCAGTCTGAAATCAAGCCCAGGTGAGGGTGGGGTCTGCGGTGGGCGCATTACTGGAGACCCGGCTTGGCGCCCACTCAAATATCAATTGCCCAGACACGGCGTAGGGAAGACGCACTGGCTGCAGAGTCAGCTAAGGTGGCAGTGTGCTGGGTCTGCTGCTTAGAACCTAGGCTTCCTTTTCATAGGTGGAAAGGTGAGAATGCCACCTTCTTATTTTCAACCTTCTAAGAACACAGTAATATTATTTGAGCTCTATACGTGAAATGTTCAAAACATTGCAACTACAAATTGGGCACGGTAAAAGTAACGTTAAACTTATTTTTTAAAGAAGTACGTGTCTATCTTTTTACCTTTTCTTTTTAAAGGTTTTGTTTGTTTGTTAGTGGGGAAGGGAAGGAGAAAGGGAGAAACATCAATATGTGAGAGAAATGTCGATCGGTTGCTTCTTGCACACCACCAAACTGGGGAATGGCCTGCAACCCAGGCGTGTGCCCTGACTGGGAATCGAACAGGTGACATCTCAGTCCTCCAGGCCAGTGCTCGATCCACGGAGTCACAGAAGCCAGGGCAATGACATTAAACTTGATTCCCTGTTGTGTTCGTGCCCGCAGTTCATTCCTACTACTGCCTCTCACTTGGGCGTGACTCCCTGATAACGTTTTTACTCTTTTTGTTTTGTTTTGTTTTTAAAGCCTTAACTGGGGATCGAACCCACAACCTTGGTGTATCAGGATGACATTCTAACCAACTGAGCTACCCAGCCAGGGCAACCCTTTTTCTCTTAAAGAAGGAGTAAAGACATTGACAAGAGCAGATCTTAGTCTTTAGATATTTAACTTTATGCATTGGGTCTTCTCCATAATGGTAGTAAAAATATATAAATAGTGTATTCAGCCATCTAGCTAGTGGGTTAGATATTTTTAACATTGCCTTCTGCCCTGGCTAGTGTGGCTCAGTAAATTGAGCGCCAGTCTGTGAACTGAAAGGTCACCGGTTCAATTCCCAGTCAGGGCACGTGCCTGGGTTGTGGGCCAGGTCCCCCGTTCAGGGCGTGCGAGAGGCAACCTATGTTTCTCTCCTCCCCTCCCTCTAAAAATAAATAAGTAAAATCTTTAAATAAAAAAAAAACAAACATTATCTTCTTCCTATAAAGTTAACTAACGTTGATTTTCTAAGTAATTGCCACAAAATAGAGTTTCCTTAGTCACACTGGAAAGACAAAGACAGATATGAACTTCGCAGCTAGAAACGTCTGTCCACCCGAGACAGCTTGGTGAGGTGGTTAAAAGCATCTTCTGCAGCCAGGTAGCCTCGCTGGGGACCGAGGATCTGCCCCTCGCTGGCTGCATGAGTGCCGGCAGGGTCTTGGAGGATTGAATGAGTTAATATGTCAACGTGCGCAGACTAGACCCTGGCACAGAGTGAGTTCTGTTCCTGTGTTTAATTTTCTTTTTCTTTTCTCTCTCTCTCTCTCTTTGTGTGTGTGTGTGTGTGTGTGTGTATCCGTTAGTGAACCAGAGCCACAGATTCTGGATTTCCAGACCCAGCAGTACAAACTCTTCCCACTGCTGGCCACCGCCTACGCCTTGCACTTCGTGGGCGCGTACATGAAGGAGACCTACCATCGGATCAACGAAGACATCGGCCACGGCGACCTGAGCGAGCTGCCCGAGGTACGCCTGGGGCCCCGGTGCCCTGCGGGCGCCCTGCTCTTTCGCGCCTGCCTGCAGGTGGTGCCCAGAGGGAACGACACCCTGGGGCTTCTTGAACAGCCTCTGTAGTCTGGGTCTCAAAGACCCGGAGATTTTTCCGATTGAAAGTGGACTAGGTACGAGGGCGAGTGCGTTTTGTCTTCAAGTTGCAGAGGCGCTGTGCCGTGTGGGTCGTCTGTTAATCCAGGGAGCACCAGGGTGGCTCCTTGCCAAGGAGGCTGGTTCAGTGGGGTGTGTGCGGTGGCCGTGCTGCTGCCGTTAGGTGCGTGGCCGGCGGTTTCGAGAGTGCGCGCCGCACCGGCGGAGGGGTCCGGGTTCCCCGTGGTGACGCGGCCTGTCGGCGCGCAGGCGCCCTGACCACCCGGGCTCCCCGTCCCCCCAGCTTCACGCGCTCACCGCCGGGCTGAAGGCCTTCACCAGCTGGACCGCGAACGCCGCCATCGAGGCCTGTCGGATGGCCTGCGGCGGGCACGGCTACTCGCACTGCAGCGGGCTCCCCAACATTTACGTCACCTTCACCCCGACCTGCACCTTCGAGGGGGAGAACACCGTCATGATGCTGCAGACGGCCAGGTGAGGGTCTCGGTTCGGGATTGCCGTTACCTGTTGGTGAGACTGTTCGAGCCCTTCGCCTCGGCTCCTGTCGCCGCGTCTCCTCTGCACGTGACGCTCGTTCCTAAAGACGCCGTCTCGCCTCCTGCCGTGACCCACTGTTGCACCCTGTGATCCGGCGAGCGAGGGTGGGACGTCTGTCATCACCGAAAGCCTTTTGGAGATGGCTGTATTTCCTTTTTACAAGAAGCTGAGTTACTGAGAGCACGTGTACCCATGGTTTTTAGGTTCCTGATGAAAAGTTACGAGCAGGTGCAGTCGGGGAAGCTGGTGTGTGGCATGGTGTCCTACCTGAACGACCTGCCCAGCCAGCGCATCCAGCCACAGCAGGTGGCAGTCTGGCCAGCCTCGGCGGACATCAGCAGCCCCGACGGCCTCACGGAGGTGTACAAGCTCCGTGCAGCCAGGTGAGCTCCCCCCGGGGCTGGAGCGGCCGCCGCGGGGGGCCTCGGGCGCGGGCCTGCTGGTGGAAGAGGGAGGCGTGAGCCCCACTGCGCATTTCCTCCCGGCTTCAGCTTTCTTTCTCCGCTAACAGGTTAGTGGAAATCGCTGCGAAAAACCTTCAGACTGAAGTGAGTCGCAGAGAAAGCAAGGAAGTGGCCTGGAACCTGACCTCCATCGACCTCGTGCGAGCAAGTGAGGTCGGTAGCCGGCCCTAGCCGTCTCCCTGTCTGCACGCCACCCGCCGCCGCCCGCCCTCGATTTGGGGGGCGGGGGGCAGAAACCCTGTCGCTGCACGGAGGATCTTTGTCAAAGGTCTCACGTTCTGCTGCTTTCTCTCCTCCAGGCCCATTGCCATTACGTGGTAGTTAAGCTCTTTACAGAGCAGCTCCTCAAAATCCAAGATAAATCCCTCCAGACTGTCTTAAGGAATTTGTGTCTCTTGTATTCCCTGTATGGAATCAGCCAGAAAGCAGGCGATTTTCTTCAGGTCAGTGTTTTCCTAAGTTGAAGTTTTGTTTTTTTGGTAGAAAAATAATCGGTCTGCTTTACAAGTGCGCCTGCGTGTAATCTGTCTGTCTGTCTAGGTACAGGGGTGGTTTGCAGTTGTAGTAGGTTTATAGCTGTTTGTATGGAAAACAGGGGTACGGGTTATGAGGAATTAGCTTTCTTTTTTTTTAATAAAGTAAATTCTTTTTTTTTTTTACATTTTATTTATTTTTATTTTTAGAGAGGGAAGGGAGGGAGAGAGAGAGAGAGATAGAAACATCAATGTGCGGTTGCTGGGGGTCATGGCCTGCAACCCAGGCATGTGCCCTGGCTGGGAATCATCGAACCTGCGACACTTTGGTTCGCAGCCTGCGCTCCATCCACTGAGCTACGCCAGCCAGGGCTCGGAATTAGCTTTCTTTATTCGAATGTCACAGCACGCCTGTGAGCCGAGTCGCGCCCACGCCTGCGCAGACGTGCGTGCATCCTTTGCTTGTCTCGCTTCTTCCAGGAGAGCATCCTGACAGACGCTCAGGTCACCCAGGTGCACCAGCGCATCAGGGAGCTGCTGACCGTCATCCGCCCGGATGCTGTTGCTTTGGTCGATGCGTTTGATTTCCAGGACGTGTCGCTGGGCTCCGTGCTCGGCCGCTATGATGGGAATGTGTATGAGAACTTGTTCGAGTGGGCCAAGTCCTCCCCGCTGAACAAAACAGAGGTAGAGAACAATGCCTTTTCTTTTACCTTTTAAAGTCTCGATTAGGATACTAAGACAGGAAGGACCTCTGAGCATGGTCTGGCTGTGAAAGCTCGCCTCAGCCGGTCCCTCAGTTCAGGCGGTGGGCGCACAAGGGGCCTGGGGCGTTCCCTCCGTGAGCAGGTGCTTCATTTCCGGGACTGGTGGCGGGCTGGCATGTTCTACAGAGGCACACTCAGGACGCCGAGGCGCAGCTCCATGAGCCCGTCTCAGGCTTCAGCGCCTGTCCGCAGCCCCACCCACCCTCTCCTCCCGAGGGTTATTTTGAAACAAATCCAGGATCATCTTATCCATGGACATTTCAGTATGTATCTCTAAAAGATAAGGGCTCTTTTTAGAAGCATAACTACAATGCCATTCTCAGACCTACACACATTAATAATTCTTTTTTTTTTTTTAATTTATTTATTTTTAGGGAGGGAAGGGGGGAGAGAGAGAGAGAGAGAGAGAGAGAGAGAGAGAGAGAGAAACATCAACATGTGGTTGCTGGGGGTCGTGCCCTGCAACCCAGGCATGTGCCCTGACTGGGAATCGAACCTTCGATGCTTTGGTTCGCAGCCCGCGCTCAACCCACTGAGCTACGCCAGCTAGGGCAGTAATTCTTTAATATCATGAACTACTCCATGTCCAGATTTTCCCAGTTGGCTCAGTTCAATGTTTTCACCTCTTCGATTTCTTTGGATGAGCATCTAGGAAGGGTCCTGATAATTTCTTGGTTGACAGGATGCTCTTCTGCACCGCGAGCTCCGTGCCACTCACTACTGCCTCTCCCCCTCCCCCGCAGGTCCACGAGTCCTACTATAAGTACCTGAAGCCGCTGCAGTCCAAGCTGTGACGCCCAGCGGCGAGGTCGCCCCGCTCCGGGGAGCAGCCGTGTCCCCCTCTCGCCCGCCTGTCACACGGATCTGCGCAGGATCTGTATCGAATCAGAACTGTCGGGCAGATGATTGATTGGCCCTTTTCCTCTTTATAAATGAAGAAAAAAAATGAACAGTTTTCGGAGATTAAATGAAAAAACGAATGTGTTATAAGTGCAATTACCATTGAAAGAGGCCTGTTAAGCATTCAGAAAAAAAACTGAAATGTAGTGTGTCTTCCCCTTGCTACTCTGCTGGTCCCAGTGGGCCGTAACTTTTGATAATTTGTAGAATTTAACTACTAAGTAGTTAATGTTTTCACATATTAATTGCTAATCACTGGATATATGTGTCTTTAAGCAAAGGTATTTTTAAAGCGGGGTAGAACCCTTCTAAGCTTTCTGCTGAATGCGCTACTGCCCCCACCCGGGCCCTGGCTTGAAAGCAGGACTGAAGAAAGTGGATTGGGGGAAATAAACTAATCAGGAAATTGGGCGTGCGTGATTTGTGCTTGACACACTGCCTGCCTGCTTGCCCCTGGTCCCGGACGTAGTGTTTCCACTTGTTCACAGTAGCTTTTCTCCAGCACGAGGATTTCTTCAGCAAGATCACCGTCCTGTGTGACTGGGTATTAATCTTCCACCCAGAGGATCCTTAAATTGTCCCAGTAGTAGTAGTAGTAGTAACACTGCAACTCCCTTCGTCCCCAGCTTCTTGGGGAGAGGTAGGCAGCAAAGTTAGGAAAACACAGGACGTCCCATAACCGACGGGACTTCAGTCCGTGGTGTTGGATCCCCCCTCCCTCTACCTTAACCTCCTGAAAGGGGCTCTGACGAAAGGAGGCCAGAGTCACAGCTCCTCCCAGGGAGAGGACGTGCAGGGGGGCTCACAGGTGCACTCGCTGTGACTAGTGTCCCTATTGATGGCCCAGGACAACCTGGACTGCATATCGGAGTTCTGTCATTTTGGCCCAAACCGTTAAAGTGCTTGGAGGTGACAGGGCCTGGCGTGAAAAGAGTAGGAGACGCACTCAGGTTACTCACTCTCACACCCGGGGGGGCAGCGCAGGAAGATCGCTTGCAAACCACGCGTTCTGATTTTTGGATCGGAAAATACAGTTGAAACTAAACGGAAGTTCCGTAGACTCTACTATATATCTGGCTTTATTTTCAGTATGTTCTGGGAGCTTTATCTGAATTGCTAAACTGTCCCTTCGACTGAAATCTAGTGTACACAATCATCCTGTATTTAAAGGGTAAATGTACCTCTTCACGAAGTTGATTCTTAAAATCAGTGTAAAACAGCACGTCCTTGATTTCTTTTTTAACCTGTTACCTGCACCTGTGACATCTGCCTCATGAAGCGCGTTTTTCTGGAGTCAGTCTTGTGAGCACAGTGTCATTCAGTGGAAATGTACTTCCTATCTGTGGACAGACATACGATCTGTCCCAGTGGGACTGGTAACATGAGGATTTTAACTCCAGCAGAAAGACTCTCTGTTGACACAAGCCTTAATCTTTCCACCAGGAGAATAAATTGGTAATTGTGTGAAGGTTGAAGTAAAACACTGTGTTAACCTCATTGGGGTATATATCTTAATGGTAGTTCAGGTTCTGGGAAATAGTACATTTAAATTGCTTAACAATGATCTGTTAAATGTAGAACTGTTTCCAAATTAGTCTTTAAATACCTTACAGATGAATATCTAATCAGGATCTGAGGGTGTTTGAAATGATATGAATCTAACAAAAAACTAAATTTGATATTCGATACTATTTTTTATTAATACTGAAGTGTTTTGTCTTGAACTTCATTTGCTGTAATCAAAGAATAAAGATGTAGGAAAAGCTCAGCAGTTTGTACGATCGAGGGAAAACCCACAATGAGATATCACTGCTCACCTGTGGGAACAGCCATCGTTAATAAATCAACATCGAGTGCTGGCGGGCGTGCAGACCAGTGCTGGCGCTGTGGGAAACTGGCTGGACTCTCCTCGGAAGGCTAAAAACGGAACTGCCCTTTGACCCGGCAATTCCACTGCTGGGAATATACCCTGAGTCCTGAATCACCAGAAGAAAAACCTATGCACCCCAATGTTCACAGCAACACAATTGACAATAGCTTAAGTGCTAGAAACAGCCTCAGGGCCCACCTGTAAATGAGTGGATCAAAAAACCCTGGTACACTTACACGATGGAATACTATGCAGCAGAAAGAAGGAGCTCCTGCCTTTTTCAACAGCGTGGATGGAACCGGACACTTACGCGAAGTGAAATAAGCCCGTTGGTGAAAGACAAGTACAGGGTGACCGCACCTCAAACTGGAATTTAATAAAACAAGAAAAACGGAACCAGACACGTGGAAACGAGGAACAGACGGACAGCTGGGGGAGGGAGGAGGGGACAGTGGAAGGAAGGGGAAGGGACTAGACAAAGAACATGCGTGAGTGACGCGTGCGTGGATGTGGACGACGGGATTGACCGGGAGAGAGGGGTGGGCTGGGTGGAGGGGGGCAAAGGGGAAAAAACGAACAATGGTAATAAAATAAACAATAAGAAAATAAAGTAGAAAAAAGGGAAGGAGTGTACCACATCAACCTAAATTCAAATTATGAAGAATTTGAAGACCGGTTTCTTCGGTTTGGGTGTCACTAAGGGCGGAAATAGGAGGGAGGGAGACCTGCCCGAACCCCCAGCACCGACGCCTGGTGGAACTGGGTCGCCGTCCCAGAGCCGCGAGTGCTCTGGCTGGTGCAGGAGAACTTGGTGACCGCCGAAAAGGAAGCAGCAGATTAGCTGGCCCTCCCTAAGAAGCCAACCTTTGCCGTAGGTAAATTAGGTTTTGTTGGATTCTTCTGGGAGCTGTTTCCAAAGAATACAAGGATAAATTTCAACCTAGTCTCCAAAATGACGATAAAGACTGAGCGGAATTAATGAGATTTTTCTATTACATGATACTGAGATGAGCCTTTTAAAAAAAAAAAGTACTCTGAACAGTACTCAAAGTGGGGAATTTGAGGTTTGTTAGGGGTACTTTCTCTATTTTATGCTCTGTTACATACGTGCTGAGGTGTTTGAACTGGAGTCACCTCCAAACGCTCTTGGTCCCGAAGCCTTGGGGTCCTTCCTGCTCTGGTCTTTAGAACAAACACTGCGCAAGTGTCTGTTTATTTCCGAACACTTGAATTGCAACATTAACTCTGTTAACACGCTTTCTGAGAACTCACTGCCTGTCATTTTTTCAGAATTTATGTACGTGGAGGCATTTTGTAATTCCTGAAGTTAGCATGTTAGCTCTTAATCCTTGGCTCTTTTTTTTTTTTTTCAACGGTTCAAGTTCACGATCCTAGAGTTCTCTACGAGTGCTGCTTAGTCCCACCTCCCCGTTTCTGAGTTCTTTCCTTTCTGTCTTACTAAGTAGGAAGAGAATAGATGCAGGTGGATTGTAACAGATGCTGATCTTGCTACACATGCGGAAGACAGGCCTGGAGTTACAGGTCGTCTTCCAGCAGCAGCTGCTTCTGCAGCTGGAGAGAGGACCGGAGCCGGGAAATGGATTATCCTCCTGAGACCTGGACTCTTGTTCATTCTCCTGACTCAGATACAGGCTTTGATCGTTTTCATGGAAAATGCAGAGACCATCCCAGCTAATTGAGCATGTATTGCTCCGTTCTTGCAGGATTAGACCAAGTCATATGTCAATGACTAAAATGATTTTTCATTTTGAAATGTTGGAAGTGGAGTTTTGCCTTTAGTTGTACATACTTACTGAAATTTTCAGTAACTATTCCTGTGGTCCATGATGGTAAACATAGAAACATAAAAGGAACTTTTGGACCTTAGTTACCAGATGTTAGCTGTTGCAGAGCCGCAAATTCCTAGATTCCGGGGTGGGGTGAGGGGGCGGGTTGTCCTTTCGATTTTGCCTTGAATTTCAGTGAGCCATTCATTATCTCCGGAGGATCATGGTAAATTGGAAGTGATTTTACAAACTCTGAACCCAAATAAGTTGTTTTTGCTACAATGCTGTTGACTGTTTCATAGATTAGGTAACAAATCTGTGACCTGCCTTCCACACAATATTCAGATTGCTGACTACTACGTTGTAAACACCATCTTATTCACAATTGCTGTGCATTCAAGGGTAGGTAGGACTTGTATCCTTTGGAGTGTGCACTTATTTTGCTGCCTTTTCTTCTGTTACTGTTGTGGTTTGAGTTTGGTTCCTACCTGACCAGATGCAGTTAGGTGCATGGCTACTCACCCCTGGCTGGACTTGTCAGCGGGGCCGGGAGTGCCGAGAGGGTGTAGGGGTCCAGGGCGAGTCTCTCGGGGTTAGATGGTGGTGACCAGGCATCACTGCTTGGCTTGCAGTTAAGCCAAACCACTAACCCTGTTTTCCTTTGCAAAATTGAAAGACCCTTAATCAAACCTGTACTTAACACAAAAATGTGTTATGTCTTTCTATTGGTGATGGTGTTGGGTTTCATGCTGGCTTTGATTTTTCTTCATTGAACAGGAAGGTTACAGCCACTTCTCTAAGCTTTGGAATGTGGGATAAATACGTAATTATGGTTTGACGTGTACATCTTTCAATCTTAACACATTCCTCACACTCTCCCCGTCACGAGTCAGCCCTCAGAAGAGTGCTCAGCCTTGGAGTCGTGGCCTCCAAGGAATGGCAGGAGGAAGAAGGCTCGCACACACCTGGGAGCCAGAAAGACTCCTCTTCAACAAGGGGCGTTTTCGCGGCTCCTAGCAACGCGCGGAGCCGCAAATCAAGGCCGGGTCTCGACTAACGGCCGCGCTGCGGGGAACCCTGGGAAGTGTAGTTTATTTTGGCGTTTCCTGCTCCCATTGGCTCCGGCAGGTGAGCGGGACGCGGACTACAACTCCCAGGATGCATAGCGCTTCGCCTCTCCTCGGGGGCCGGGTGACTGGGAGGTGGGCGGCTGCTGGGCTCCGAAGCGGGAGGCTTGACCAGGGTGGACTCCCCGGCGTCGAGGACCCGCGGCGATGGCTCGGACAAGTCCCAGCGGTTGCTCCTCTGAAGGGAATGGCGCGTAGCCCGGGGTATTTCAGGGGCTGGGAGGGTCGTAAGCTGCGCGGCGGCCGAGAGGGGCTGGGCGCGCGGAAGGGTAACGCGTGGAGGGGCGGGGGGTGGGTGGGACTGAGGAGTGCCTTCGGGAGGGCCCTCGCCGAGGGGCGGGCTGGGGATGTTCAAACGACTGTCCCGGAGCCGGCTGAGCAGCCGCGAGGACTTGATGGCACTTGGGGCCCCGCAGCCTCCGCTAGCCTCTGCCAGTGAGAGCTTCCCGCGATGCGGGAGGCTGGCACGCGACCCACGGGGGATGGCCGGAAGTTCCTGGACGTCGTGGGAGACTCCGCGAGTTGGCACTTGGAGGTCGTGGGAATGCCGTTGCAGAGAAAGAGAAACACGAACGTTCAGCCCCCCCCCCGTGTGTCACCCCAAGGCCCCTTGGCGTTCTCACAACAGGACGGGCCAACACCGAGGGCACAGACCACCCGCCCCGACTCCCTCCTCCCGAGGCCGGTTACTGAAATTACCCGAGCCTCTGGGGACACGGACGGGAGTCGGCGGCAGAGAGGGGCGACTCCGAAGTTAGTGTGAAAAAAGAAACTGAACACCGGCCGTGGAAATGCGCACGGCCAAGGAGTAGCCAGCACTCAGCTCCGCTCTTTGTGCTGAACGCCGCCCGGTATCGAGGCGCGGCGTTGCCTGGGAAGGTGTGGGGGCCGTGGTGCCGGGCACCCCCTTTCTGAGATGGAAACCTGCGGTCCCCCCCATCCTCTTTCCGAGGAGCAGTGCCCTTTATTCTCGCAATCTCCAGGCCTCCGAACGCTCACCAAATTGCTCCCACCACTTTGCCTTTCATCTGAATTGCTCCCCCACAAGGAATTTTTAATTCAATTAGGGAAATCCCAAATTGAATGAGTAAAGCTAGAGAAGCCTTGATAGGCCTTGGACCCAAGCGCGGTTTAGGCTACATCAGGTCTAAGCAATCCCTTTCCCTCTCTTCGCCAGGGAGCAGGAGCCTGTTGTGGGCGGAATTCAGATGAGCCGGTCGGTCGGGGCTGGGAAGGAGCTGCAGGCAGCCCCCCCAGCCTGGAGATGGTGAGTGAGATGCCTGGAGATGTGAGCCGGCCCCCACCCGCAAGGCCTTGACCGCAGGGCGTGCTGTGGGGGCTGGGTGAGGAGGACCAGCCTGTGGTTCAGGGACAAGGGTGGTGGAAGTAACATTGATAGTGAACTTCCAGCGTTTCTTCCGAGCCTCTCTGCATGTCCAGCTGGAAGCATTTTTAAGTCTGTTGCTGGCGCTGAGCTGGGGATATGGAATAGAGGAATACGTTCCCGGTCACGTTGCATGCTGGCTGGGAGGGTTTGTGTGTGGCGTCTGGAATTCAGGGAAAAGGGGAGACTTCTGTCCCCTGTGGGGGTGGAGGCGGGGACCCACAGTGGCATCCTCTGTTGGCCAAGGCTGTTTCCACTTTTTGAATGAGTCTGTTCTCAGATACTCAGGAAGCATGAATGGCTTCTGTCTCTAAATGCCATCCGAGCTCCTTTTACCACTGCTGACTTGGCAAAAGGCAAAGCAATTCATTGTGCGTTCTCAGTTTCGACATGCACTCATTGTTTGATTTCATAAAAGTGGTGTGTTTTCTCATATTAGGCACCAAAGACCAAGAAGGGACTGAGAGGTGAGTGGAGAGATTGAACATCACCCTTAAGCCAAAAATAATCCCCCCCCCTTGGGTCCATGTCTGTGCCTGAATGCTCCTGGCGGTTTCCCCTCATGCCTTAGGCAGTTTGGGTCATTTAGGGGACTCCTTATGCTGCCTCATTGGCCCTTAGAGCAGTTCAGAAATACACAAGGGATGGGACTGGGGAAGAAACCCCTTCTCTCTGGGCTCTGGACCAGAAGTACGCGGTCGAGGTGAGGGTGGTGAGGACACTCCCCTTCACTCAAGAATGAATCCAGTCCTGGACCTCGGGTTCCCGCGTGCGGGGGCGGGGGGGGGGGGCGAGGGAGGGTGCCTCCAGACCAGCTCTGGGGGTTCTCAGATGGAAGGGTACTAGGCGGTTATTGGCAGGAGAGAAGCTTGCACGTGCCTAGAAATCCTGGACACTTTCCCCAGAGAAGCCCGCTGGGCTAGTTGTTCAGGGCCTGGAAGACTGGCTTGTCCGCCAGCGTGCCGAACAGGAAGTAGGTTCCACCGAAAATCTTCTCCGTCTTCCTTTGAGCAAGTCGTCTTCAGTTCCTCCCCTGGGGCACTTCAGTAAGGCGATGTGACCTGTTGCCCGAGAGCGGGGAAACATCTCGGGGCCGGTGAAGACAGACCTCCCTGAGGTCCCGGGAGTGGTTTCAGGGTGGGAAGCCAGGACAGCCCTTCCCTCCTCCTGAGGTCATGGCCCCGCCCCTTCTCTTTCAGGCTCCATCGCTGATGTCCTCGGTGACCTCCTGGCGGATGAGAGTAAGTGCCCCTTCCCAGAATCCCCTGATTCAGGCTTGGGTTTTTTTTTTAATTGACATATAATTCACATAAAACTTACTCTTTTAAGGTGTGCATTCCAATGGCTTTTACTTATTCACAGAGTCAGTTCCAGCACATTTCACCACCCCACGAAGAAACCCCGTGCCCATGAGCATTCTCTCCCTGCTCTCTCCTCTCCCAGCCCCGGGCAGCCGCTGGTCTCCTCCTTTTGCTGTGGATTTGCTGCATCGTCTGGGCAGTTTGTACAAAATGGAATCACACAGCGTGTGGCTTTTGCATCTGGCTTCTTCCGTTTACCATGTTTTCAGGGTCCCCTTCTTCATGCCTCCCCATGGCTGTGTGACAGTCCATTGCGTGGCTATGCCACATTGTGTTTGTTCATTCATCAGTTGAGGGGACCGTGGGTGGTTGCCACCTTCTGCCTAGGCGATCGTGAGCGATGATATTTGGAGCACTCATGCACGGGTTTTCGTGTGCTTTGGGGGTGTGCCCCTAGGAGTGGGATCACCGGACTGTATGGTAACTCTGTTTCCCTGTCGGAGAAACCGCCAGTCTACTTCCCACAGCCGCTGTGCGGCGTTGCGGTCCCACCAGCGGTGCGGGAGGGTTCTGGTTTCTCCAGGTCCTTGTCAGTGCTATTGTCATCGTCTGCCTGCTTGATGCCGGCCCTCCAGTGGGTGAACCGCTGCATCTCGTTGTGGACTCGGTGTGCGTTTTCCTAGGGACTGAAATGATGTTGCGCACACATTCATGCACTTGCTGGCCATTTATTCTCTTTGGAGAAGGTCTATTCAGATTCTTGGTCCATTTTTTAGTGGTGCATCGTAAGAGTTTCCTATTAACTCTGGATCCCAGTCCCTCACCCTGTGTGTCCGTCTTTGGTGTTCCGAGGGGCAGGGCTTCAGGGTCCTGAAAAGCTCACTGGGGACAGCGGGGCTGAGGTTCCCCACGTCTGGCCCAGGAGGACCCACCAAGCGCAGGCCCGTGTGTTCCACCCGACAGCTTTGGGCCCTGGGAGTGCGTTGTTCCTCCTGAATTTCCATGGGGGTGGGGGGCAGGAGTGGGCTCTTCTCGTGTCAGCGGTTGGCGTGTAGGCTTGGCTTCCTGCTTGGAAACGCACCGCCCTCTCCCCGTTCAGGTTTCCCAGGGGTAACGCTGGAGCCCGCCTCTGGGGCCTGTTTCCTTCCTCCATAGGGGCCCTTCCTCCCGTGGGAAGTTCTGGTCGACAGCTCGTGGGGACTTGTGACCGCCGCCTCACCTTCACTCCGGTTCTCTGTAGCCGCATGACATCTTTGCTGTTTCCTTTTTTTGCAGTGACACCACCTGAGAAGCCCGTCCAGCTCGCGTCGCATGCCAGAGATAACACAGGCGGAGCGCAGGCGCTCCCTTCTGCAAGGCCCAGAGCAAAGTAAGCACAGGGTGGCTGGGCACCCACGGCCCCGTTCTGTCCCGAGGCTCTGCCTGCCCCGCCCCACCTGCCCCGCCCCGCCCCACTTCGCACCTCCTGCGTGTCCGTGTCCGCCACTCACGCCGTCAGGGACCTCCTCCCTGGTGCACGGCGGGGGTCAGAACTGGAGGGCGGAAGTCCGGCTTGCAGTCCTGCAGCTGCTGCTCACTGTGTGACCTCGGGCAATGCCTGAGCCTCTCTCTCAGCCTCAGTGTCCTCATCCTCAGAACAGGAGGACTGGCCTAGATGGGTGACTTTCGGGTTGTTTGTTCTTCTGAGGTTCTCCCGCCAATTCAGCGACAGGGAGGAGCTTTTTGAATTTCCCACTCCACCTTCATTTTAGCTAAAGCAGATCTGTTTTTCTCTCTTACCTGTCGTTTTCAACAGTTCGATTCTAAAGAGGCTCTGTTCCTTTTTTAAAAAAATTAAAAATCAGCCCTGGCTGGTGTAGCTCAGTGGACTGAGTGCTGGCCTTCTAACTAAGGGGTTGCCAGTTCGATTCCCAGTCAGGGCACATGCCTGGGTTGCGGGCTAGGTCCTCAGTGGGGGACATTCAAGGGCAACCACACATTGATGCTTCTCTTCCTCTCTTCACCACCCTCCCTTCCCCTCTGTCTGAAAATAAATAAATAAAATCTTCAAAAAAAGAAAAAATCATTGCTTTAGGCGGCCTGTGAAATTCCTTTTAGCAACTCTGTTCCCCCGGAGACTCACTTGGACTCTGTAAGCCATCCTTTCGTAGAATCACCTGGCGCCCTGGGGGTGCAGGTGGCGCTGACGCTGCCCGCCCCTTCGCAGGTCCCTCCTGGAGAACGATGCCTACGGCGCCGTGGCAGGCCCGGCGGGAGCTGACGCCGAGGTGAGCCCGGGCCAGTCCCCGCTCCCCGCCCTCCGCACCTACCCCCGAGACAGGGAGTTGGGTGCGGTGGCCAAGGGGCTGCTCGCAGAGCGGTTTAGAAGGGCTCAGAAAGCCAGTTGGGTCTTCAATCAAACCGACACCCAAGGGCTGCCGCGTGCCCACGGCAACGTCGGCTTCCTTCCTGCCCGTGGGATGATGGCCTGGAAGTCAGAGCTCCTGGCAGCCGCCGGAGCCTTGAATGTTGCCCCTTGGAACTGTGCTTCCACAGGAAACCCCACTGCCGCCCAGTCACAGGGGTGGCAAGTGGTGTGGCGTGAGCCCTGGGGGACTCAACGCGGTCTGGTCCGCGGGAAGGCTGGGAGGAAGGGGAAGTGGCAGCACTTCCTGGGCCCCGCACCCGGGCAGGTCAACTTCAGACAACACCCAGCCCCAGGGGAGGGCGGGACGCTCCTGTGACGCCCCACGGGCCGGGCTCCCGCCCTAACAGAGGCCGCGCTGCAGGGGCCAGAGCCTGAGCTCCACAGCCTCGACTAACCCAGGCCCGTCCCCTCCCTCGGACCTAGGTGTCGGACGTCTCCGAGGCGGACCCGCAGGCTTTGCTCCAGGCGATGAAGGTAACCCAGCGGCTTGCGCATTCTGGCAGCCCGTGGGCGGGGGCGCTGGCATTTCGTGCCGGGCCTTCATCCTCCCTCTAGTCTCCCTTTAAAGAGTGTGTTTGGAGCCCTCCCTCGGGCGACAGTGGGGCTCATGCGGGAGCTGTTGCCCTCCGCCCCCCGGGGATGAGCCAGATTCCTGGCTTCAGAGACGCGCCTGCCCGGAGACGCACTGGGCCCGGGCCTCTGGTGACGTGGGCCTGCCCCCCGGGAAACCACCTGGCTGCGTCCCCCCGGGGGCTGCATCTGCCCCCCCCCGTGGGAAAGATGAGGAGGCTGTCTCTTCTAAAGCTTACTCTTAACCTTTCTCCCTGTTTCTCCCCACACACCTCGCCCAGTGCCCCTCCGTACAGCTGTCCTTCCGTCAGATCAAGCCCCAAGCTAACCTTGACAATGAGTTTTAAGACAAATTCTGAAGACTTTCCAGTCTCTCAGTGCTCGGGTGGCCTGGCCGGAGTCTGGGCCTCCAGTCGCCCCGAGTCCTCCCTGCGCGCCCTGCAGCTGCAGCGCCCTGCGGCCTGACCCGGGCCCCCTGGCGCCCCCTGGCTGACACGTGTCTCCCGGCTGGTCTGGGCCACGGCCCAGCACCCGCTCTCAGCCCCGTGGGGGGGCCTGGAGGAACCGCAGTCCGTCCCCCTCCTGGCTCCAGACCCAGCCTCTCTAACCTGGGCTTGAAACCACCCTTTCCCGAGGCTGCCAGCTGGACCCTCCAGTCCTCCGACTCAGTTTCTGTTGGTGACTTCGAGTCCCATTCCAGAACCATGAGCTGAGCGCCCCACCCCCGCCCCCCCACTCGGCTTCCCTTCCGTTCTGTTCCCTGGCTCAGCTCTCCTTTTCGGAGGGGTCTCTCATTCTCCTTTGTTTCCTCACGGTTCTGCCCCGGGGCACCCACAGCGCTCCTTATCAAAACCCTCATTGAGTGGGTCTGGACTGAGGGCTCCTGAGGGCTCCTGGCGGCTCCTGGCTTGGTTCATGCGGCTTTTAATGGCATCCCAATAGAACATTCTCCCCACACTCCTGCCTCTAATTGCACTTCGTTTCCCGGGACCCAGGCAGGCAAAGGAACCAGGTTTTTCCTCGACTTCGGACAGAAAGTCTCGCGCCCCTTCTCAGTGCCCAGCAGCTGCCCCTTGGGGAGTCTTGGGGCCCTGCTCTGTGGCTCCCTCCGCGGACAGCCTCAGCACTGGCCGAGCCTGCGAGAGAAGCACTGAAGGCCGGTGTCGGCCACCCTCTCGGTCTGGCATCGGGGCCGCAGCTGCTGGGGGTCCCCGTCTGAGCCCGGGCCTGCCCGAGGCCGGGTGTGTGGGAGCTGTGCTCGGCCCTGCCTCTGTCCTGCTCTGTAGCCCCGTCCGGCCAGGGCCCCGTTCGTCCCTCATGGGAAAAGCAGCAGCACCGCCGCCGCCAGGCTGCCGGGAGCGCCTGCAGGGGTTCCCCCCCCCTCCCTGCCGTTCCAGGATCTGGACGACATGGATGCCGATCTGTTGGGTCTGAGGAAGGCTCACCCAGCTTCTGGCAAAAGCCCTACAAAGGGTTCTGGGAAGGAAGAGCTGCCTAGCACCCCCAAACCTGCTGGTACGTTACCAGCCACTGAGAAGGGTGAGTAGGACATAGCTCTTCAGGCCTAGGGAGCTTTGGGGGTGCGGGAAATGCTTAGAAGGAAGCTTTCCTGTTCTGAGGGTCTTCTCTGCCTGGGATGGAGAGGCTGGGAGCTACTGTGTGTGCGTGTGTGTGTGTGTGTGTGCGTGTGTGCACTAGTGACTATAGTGGGGGAGGGGCGCAAGTCCAGCTTCCTCCCTAGGGCCGTTCCGGCCCCTCTGAGTCCAGCATGGCCGCTCCTGGAGAAGCTGCCTGAGAATTTATGGTGACCTGTGCATCTCCCAGACCCTTGTCTCCGGAGTGCCTTGTGACGAGGGGCAGGCACTGTTTCCCCGCTAGAGGCCAGTGTGAGCGGGGCTGAGTCTCAGCTCCCCCACGGGAGAAGCGCAGCGCGCCCCCCCACGGCCCCCGTCACGGAAGAACCTTGGCCAGGACAGACCCAGGCCCGCGGCCTCGCCTTCTGCTTGCTTTCCGCAGGGGGTGCCGTCCCCAGCGTGAAGCCGTCTCCGTCTCCCGGCAGCTCTGGGCATCAGCACAAGAGGTTTTCTTTTGAAGGTACCACAGGCCCCGGCCGTGCCTCTGGGCCACTCCAGTCTGGGGAGTGGGGTAGCCAAGGCAACGCTTCCTTGCCGGACCGCAGCTGGGCTGCTGTGTGGACCAGATGAGGGGCAGACGCGGGGACCGCTGGCTCAGTTCTCGTGATTCCAGGGAGGGGCAGTTATGTGTGTTCGCCCGGATGATTGGGAAGCTTACCTGTGAGGACTTTGAAACCAGATGTCAAACTGAAGATTCTGTAAAGTGTAGGGGAAATTCCTTTCCCTTCGTGAACACACAGACGTTTGACTTCTCTGCTGAAACACCCAGGGACATTTCCAGAAGGCCGTGCGGGCAGCAGGGTCTGGGGGTCACGGGCAAGCCTGGCAGAGTCGGGCCGGGGGGCCCCCCCGACGCCCAGGGGCTCGCTTCTCTGTCAGGGCAGCTGGGGCGAAGGCGGGGCACGCGGTGGCTCCCCCAGCGTGGCGCCGGGCTGGTTCCGGGGCGCGCGTGCGGTCTGACCTGCGCTTTCCCTTCCGCCCCGAGACGCGGAAGACCCGCTGGCAGGACTTCTCTCTGAGGACGAGGAAGGGGTCGCCAAGAAGCCGCCTGGGACCGAGAGTAAAGCTGCTCCCGAGAAGAGCCCCGCCCTAGCCGGAGATCGAGGTAGGAGGCGGGCTCGTTTCTTGTCCCAGGAAGACGCAGCGGGCAGCCTGCGAGCGGGAGTTGCCAGCGCACAGCCCGAGACCCGCCCTGCGTGTCTCAGGACCAAGATCCAGGATCAAGAACCTGGGAGTGGGTCAGCGTTGGGGTCGGGTCCGGTCCTGTGGGCACACCAGACATGTTCAATGCCTGCTGCCCCTTCCAGAAGTCAAGGTGGCAGAGAAACGTGCCCCTCCGCCCATCCGAACGTCACAGTGCAGGGCAAGACGACTGGGCCCTGGGCCCTGTGTTCTGACTCCTAGGTCCCTCCGTTCCTCTGACTCCTGGGGACACCCCCGTCCGGAAGAAGGAAGACCTGTTCTTTGACGATGAGGATGACCTCATGGCCGCCCTGGGGTTTGGAGACAGCCCCAAAGCAGAGAGGAGGCCAGCGGGAGCCCAGTAAGCGTCCTTGGCAGGGGAGAATCCCTGGCCAGGCTGCTGATTCGGGTCCGGAGGGAGGCCGCGGGCGGGCACGGCCTGGGCCCCCCAGGAAGGCCTTGGGTGCACACGCGCCAGTCCCGTGTTCCGTCCTGCAGGGGAGGGCCCCGCCCCGCTCGCTCCAAGCTGGATGAGCTGCTGGGCCGAGGCTCCGCCTCCAGACACCTGGCCCGTCCAGACCCCGGGGCGCACCGGGAGTTCAAGCTGGACGGGAAGTACCAGAGGTCACAGGGTGAGAAAGCTCGCGGGGCGGGGAGGTGGGTGGGGGCCCCCAGAGCAGGTGCTGACCACACCACAACCCACGGTAAGAAGTAAGCTTTACATCGTGGTGCTCACACATCATTGTGCACTTTTGTGCCTAGCACAAGAGGTGTGAAGGCATGATTACCACGTTTAATGCTGCTTTGTTGTGTTTACATGCCATTTGACTTATAAATACGTTGGCTGCAACTCACTGACTCGGTTTCTGCACCTGCTGACAGGTAGCAGCTCACAGTTTCAAAACCACTGCTGTGTTTCTGAAAGCGTTGGCCCTGGGCCACCCGTCGAATCGTTCCTGTCGCACAGCTAGCCCACTGGCCTCGCCTCGCGGGCGCGGGGCAGGGCCGCACTGGGCACTCGCGGCAGCTGCCCCACGGCCCCCCCGGGCGGGCGCTGGGCCTGGAGACACGGAGCGCGGCCCCTCGCCCCGCCCCCCTCAGAGCGGCTTCTCTGGCATGCGTCTCCCCAGCAGGCTGCCAGTTCAGCTTTTTAGAAATAGAGTTCTGTAGCCACAATAGAGTTGGACTGCCTCGCCCCAAATCACAGGCTCCTTAATCCACAGACAAAGAAGACAGTTGGGGCAACGAGGACTTCGTCTTCGGGGCCTATCAGCCCACCGTGGGCTCCTCCGAGGGCCGGCAGTCCCGCCGGCCGTCAGTCAGGTAAGCGGGCCTGCAGGGAGCCGGGCCTCGGAGACCGGCTGCCCGCCGGGTGATGCACCGGCCTCGCCCCGTGCCCCCTGCGGTCTCGTTCGGAGGCCTCGGTGGGCGGGCCCCGGCTGTGGAGGCGGTCCCCCCGGTGCGGACGGAGGAGGGGGTTGCCCCGTCCCGCCCGCACAGGCCAAGTGGCACAGCCGCCCCCCAGCAGGAGCCTGGGCCCCCGCTCTGCCGCCAGCCTCCTCGGGGGGAGAAAGAGAATGGTCTGAATTTGGAATTTCCTCCCAGTGCGTGTTTTAAGCTTTGTATTTTGAAATAATCTCAGAGTGACAGAAAAGTTGTGAGAACGGTACAAAGAACCCCCTACCTTTCGGCCACACGGAGCGGTTGTCAGCATTGCGCCGCGTCGGCTTTGTCAGCCTCTCTCACTCTTTCAGTAACCCCTGTGCCCGTCAGCGCTTGTGTCCGACCCCAGTGTGTTATTCTTCAGCTTCGTACCTGCTGCCGCTGGCCAGCGACACACACAGGCGGTGGCCGAATAAACGAACAGGGAACAGAGTGACAGTTGCTGGGAAACCATTTGACCCAACTGATGGTCGCCCTGGACGTGGGTGTCTCACTGCGGATGCAGTTGTCCCTGGTTCAGGGTGTCTGTGTTTCATGGTGTTTCACAGACAGCGCCCAGCTGTCACCGCGCTGCCACCTGAACTGGTGCAGGCACCATGTGCTCGGGGCCTCAGGCTGGCACGCCGAGCCCGCGGGCACCCCGACTCCTTGGCGTGGACCTCACAGTCCCCGCCAGCAGTGGAGGGGGTGCCTGCTCAGGGGCTGTTGGGACAGGCTGCTGGCCCAGCCGTGGACCCCGTCCCTCTCTGTCGTAAAGCAGGTTCTCAGCAGAAGGTGGCACAGACCTCAAGGGAGAACCAGGCTCCACACAGAGCACCCCGGCGACGACCAGCCCCCCCCACCCCAGGAAGGGAGGGGCTGACTGGTTGGGCCTCAAGGACGAAGACGAGGACCCGCGCCCCCCCTCTCCCACCAGAGAGCCTCGAAGGGGGGGCTCTGCGCTCTCCACCCCCTTCGTGCCCCATCCTGAGGACCAGCCTCCTGCTCCGGGCCAGCACTCCGCCCCGGCAGGGCTGCCCCCCTCCTCCACGGGGGCCGAGCCGCCACCCGAGGGCGCTGGCGCCCCTGCCAAAGCCAGCCGGCCTTCCCAGCTGGGAGCGTCTGCGGAGACGGAGGAGGAGGACTGGCTGAGCCATGCCTTGTCTCGGAAGAAGGCCCGAGGCCTGGCCAGAGAAGAGCACGCTCTGACCTCGAAGGGCCTGAACCGGGAGGGGGCTGCGGGCCGATCCCCCTCCGGCAGGTACGGGCTTGGGCTGCTGTCTCCTGTGGCGGGAGGACCGGGCAGGGTCCGTGGAGCGCCACCCCTTCCCCGTGCTTCCTTCCTCCGGGCGCTGCCCAGAGGGTGCCTGGCTCCTGCCTTTGTCCCGGTGCAGACACGAGGGGACAGGGAGCTGTTGGCACTCACGCCCCCGCTGCTGTGGGGACAGGTGCCGGCTGGATAGATGGCAAACCCATTGCGGCCATGCAGCTGCCTCTGAGCAGGGGCCCTGCCCACAGTGCCCTTGGGCTGGCGAGGCCCCGGTGCCCGAATTGTCGGTGCTCACGGTGGCCTGGGCTGAAGGAGATGCATGTGTGTGGGTTGGCATCTGCCCGTGCTCTTTGGGGAGTTTAGGGAAGACGCAGCGGCCAAGAGGTAACTCCTGGGGAAGCCATAGAATGGGGGTCCTGTGGGGCAGGGCAGTGAGTGACCCCTGAGTGCAGAAGGAAGAAGGGGCTGGAAAGGCTGGGATCACCCAGAAGGAGTGACAAGATGCTGTGTGGCCAGAGCAAAGGGGACACAAAGTGACAGGCCAGGGACATGGCCCAGCCCTGGGGTTGGTGTGGATGAGGAGGGTGGCTTTGACCCGGACCTGAAACCAGGGGGGAAGCTTCCTCCCTGACCCCGGGGGCCGAGAAGAGCGGTGAGAACACCAGACAGGGGAAGGGAGGAACCTCGAGGGCAGCTGGACCTGGCAGAGTGAGCAGATCCTCAGTCTAAAGCCCTTGAACCTGATGCCTGTAACACCTGGTGCCTATAACATCCCCATTGTTGCTACTTGGGTTGTCGTCAGATGGTCACTGTCCACTCACTGTGCTCTGCTGGGCGCTGGGGCAGGGAGGGGCATCTGGAGGGCCACGGACTCCAAGTTGGGAGGCGACTTCCCACGACAGGACCGCAGGGACAGGCTGAGGACGGCCACCCAGCTTTGCCCGTGGGCCCTGCCCTGTCTTCGTCCAGCCTGACCTGGACCTCTGCCACCTTCACCTTAACGTTGGCTTCCTCAGCCAGCCTGTTGCCGACACTCAAGGGCTCCAGCAGGCAGCTGCCGAAGGGACCTCAGGACCAGCAGTGCAAAAGCCGCCTGCCCAGCTGGCCACCGCGGGGTACGTGTGTGGCCGGGGCTGAGGGTGGCGAGAGGCACTCTGGGGGCTGGACGGGGCCTCCTTCCAACTTGGGCCATTGGTGTATGGTTTCTGATACCTCGTGTCCAGCCCCCTGAAGCTGGGGTCCCATCTTCTCCCCTCCCCCCCGGCCCCGAGATCTCACTTTGGTGAGCTGCCAGCCACTGGGGCCTTTCCAGTCCGTGACGTGGGGCTGAAGTTTTCCTTTACTGTCCCCGCCCCCGCCTCCCATTCCTGTGTCCTCAGGCCCTCGGTGACATGGAACCCAGCCACCTTGGCCCTCCATGCAGGTGACTCAAAGAAGGGCCCAGCCCCTGGCGATGTTTCTGGCACCGGTTTGTTTTCTGCTCTGTCGGGGTTAAATCTGGGTAGGAAGGAGGCACCTTGAACTTCCTTTGGGGCGCCCAGAAGACAGTGATGGTGGAGCACGCGAGCACACACGCATGCACACACGCACGCACACGCACGCACGCGAGAGACACACACGCATGAGACCTTGGGGCCGCCGTGGGCCTCCTTCCCTCTCAGCTCCCTGCTCTTGATTTTTCAGAGCCTGCACTGCATTTCCTGAGCTCCCAGGAACCCACGGGGCTTTCTGCGCCTGTCCAGGTAGGGAGGGTGGGCAAACAGGTAGAGGTCCCAGGCCCGTGAAGCGATTCTCCCGTGGCCAGAGGCGGCACCAGTGGTTGGACCTGAGCGCCTGCCAAGATACTGGAGAGCCCACCCTGGCTCTCCTCGCGGGCACTTTCTTACACCATAGCCTGGGCAGGCGGAGCGGGCTGCTAACCTGCCAGCACTGATAGGGAATTAGGTGGCAACCAGGTCCGGGGAGGCAGGAATGCTCCAGTCAGAAAGCAGGGCTGCAGGCGTCTTACAGTTCCGTCTAGAAAGTCTCCTCCGTGCTTGCCATCCTCCCTCTGCCCCTCCTTCTGTTTCCCCGGCGTGGCAGTCACCTCTGGCCCTGGCCGTGAGGAGGCCCAGCCCCACAGGGCCACGTCCCTAGTAACCCAGAAGTGCCCCTGGAGGTGGGGGTTGGTGGGCAGCCAGCAGGAAGCAGGGTGGCTACTGGCATTAGGACCGCAGGCCTGATAGAAAGGGTCGGTGTCCTGGGTGTTTGTCGTCCCCGTGACTCTGCTGGGGCCCCCCGGTATAGCTCGGTTGGTCAGAGCGCCGTCCCGACGCGCCACAGTGGGGGTCGGTCTCCAGTCAGGGCACGCACGAGAGGCAACCAGTGAATGCGTGGACGCGGAGTGGAACAAAACATCGGTTTTTCTTCCTCTCCCTTCCTCTCTCTAAAATCAGTAAATTTTAAAAAATTAAAAAAAAAAAGGCTGCCGGGACTTGGCCATTTGTCGGGGAATCTGGGCCACTGCTGGGAGGGTGTTCCAAGGAGGGAGGGAGACTCATTCTCCTAACCAGACCTGAGGGGAGGTGCAGTGACCATGCGACTCTCCAGGGCCTCATTCGTGGCCCCTTGGCGCCTGGTCCCCACTACAGGGGTCCTCACGTACAGCCCGGATCAGGTACGGGGCCTGGAGGCCCAGCGAGCAGGGGCCCAGAGGCGGCTGAGCTCCCCCGAGCCCTGCCCCGCCTCACCTGGAAGGTCCCCCACCTCCTCCTACAGTTCCCGCTCCCGGAGGCCCTGGCACAGCACTTGCCGCCGGACGCAGAGTATCAGAGGCGGCTCCTGGCTGCCCGGGTGCAGCTTCAGAGCGGCACTGCCGAGCTGCAGGCCGAGCTGCTGCAGAGTCAGGCCCGGCTGGCAGAGCTGGAGGCCCAGGTGAGGTCGGGGGTGGCTGCCCGTGAGGGCAGGGCTGTGAGGGGAAGGTGTCACTGTGGGGGCCGGCAGGGTTGGTTCCCAGGGAGCCCGAGGGACCTGCCTTCCCGCCCTCCACGTTGCCGCTCGTGCCCTCCCAGGTGCGGAAGCTGGAGCTGGAGCGCACCCAGCACAGGCTGCTGGTGGAGAGTTTGCAGCAGCGACACCAGGCTGACCTGGAGCTCATCGAGAATGCCCACAGGTACCCCGCTCTGCCCGCGGCCCCCTGGGCTCCCTGGGCTCACGGCCGGCCCGCCCCAGGACCACTGCGCTCCCAGAGGCCCTTCCGAGTGTCACGGCTGGGTGTTCTGTGGGCAGAAGCCGTGTCAAGGTGCTGGAAGCCTCGTACCAGCAACGGGAAGAGCGGCTGCGGAGAGAGAACGAGGAGCTGTCTGCGCAGTACTTGTCTCACTGCCGGGAGGCCGAGCAGGCCCAGACCGAACTGCTGGCCCAGCACCAGCGGCGCCTGGCAGCGGCTGCGCAGGAGAAGGACCAGGAGATGGAGCGGCTCCGGGAGCTGCAGCGGTGAGGGCGCGGCCCAGGCGGGCAGGGGAGCAGTCTTCAAGGGCAGTCAGGGCACCCTGTTTGCCGTGAGACCCCCAAAGCTATGACTCGGCAGCCTTTGAACCACGGCCTAACCCCTTCCCTTCCAGGCGCGCACCCAGGCCGGCACACCGAACCATCACACCCGAGTGGGGGGGGGGGGACCCTAAGGGCCCCCACTGTGTGGGCCGGCCCAGTGGCAGCAGGCAACCGCAGGCTAACTCAGCCCAGCCTCATCCACCCGCCTGCTGGGCGTCCTGAGTCTGGTTCCTGGACTGGCCCTGGATGCGGTCTGCTGTGCCTGGAGTGTCAGCCTTGCCCTTCTAGATCAGAGCAGACAGGGAAGGGGCACATAAAAGGAGTCAGCTGGTGAGGGCAGAGCGGTCTTTGAACTCTTCTCAGAGCCCGGACACACCTTTCTTTCCCTCCATGTGGAGCGTCCTTCACTGAGTAACAGAAGGCACCTCCCCCTTAGAGAGTGGGTGTGGCACTGACTTTAAGGCACCAGGACAGATGGGGCTGAGCAGCCGGGGGACCCGAGGCCCTCCCTGGAGAAGCAGCCCCAGCCCGCCCTCCCCGCCGCCCCGCAGGGCCTCCATCCTGGAGATGCGCAAGGACCACGAGGAGCAGCTGCAGCGGCTGAGGCTGCTGAAGGACCGAGAGATCGATGCTGTCACCAGCGCCACCTCGCACACAAGGTACAGGCGAGGTCTGGGCTGTGCCCACCCGAGGGGCCGGTGCTGGGGTCCCCGGGCCGGGGTGACCGGATCCTCCCCAGGTCCCTGAACGGCGTCATCGAGCAGATGGAGAAATTCTCCAGCAGCCTGAGTGAGCTGTCCTCCCGCGTGGAGGCCTCGCACGCCACCACCGCCCAGGAGTGGGAGCTGGGCATCCAGCAGCGAGACAGGCAGCTCCGAGGTACCGTGTGCGCCGTGCGCCGCCTCCTCTCCCGGCTCGGTGGGAGGGCGGGCGGACAGTGAGTGCCCTGTGGCGCCCCCCAAGCTTTGCAGGAGAGGCTGGGCCACCAGCAGCGGGACATGGAGGAGGAGCGGGGCCGGCTCCAGGAGGTCATCGCCAAGATGGAGGCCCGCCTGAACGAGCAGAGCCGGCTGCTGGAGCAGGTGGGCCGCCCTCTGCCAGCTCGGGGCCGAGTGTCGGCAGCGCTCTCAGCCCACTTCCACCGCCACCACCGCAGGACGGCCTCCGACACGTCCCCTGCCCCTGCCCCCGCCTGCCCCCGCCTGCCCCCGCCTCTGTGCTCCACGGAGTGCCCTCGCCCGCCAAGGCCGAGCCCTTTCCTGCCCGCCGGCTGCACGTCCCCCTTTCTCTCCAGTCACCTGAATCTGTCACGGCAGGCGATGCCCGTGACGTTGGGAGAAACGCGTTTGCCTGACAGATATTCTGAACTCCCCGTATACTTTCCCATATAAGAGGAAGCTTTGTTCTTTAAAGACACCCGTGTCCCCTGGCGTACGCAGGGTCGTGCCCACCCTGGTGCTTTGCCTGCCCGGTTGATGGGAGACAGGGAGGCTGAGGGTTGGCAGTTCGGGGGGCGGGGACGCCGCGGCCTGCGGAGCCTCCCAGCAGGGGGCCTGAGCCGTGGGCCTTGGTGCAGCTACTCCGAGCCGCTGGCCCCGAGTCCTTCCCGGAGGCCCCTCCTCTTGTGTCCCTCTGGAAAGGACGTGTGTGTGACATGTTGTGGGAGACACAGGCGGGTTTGCCCAGCAGTCGGGCTCGCCTGGGAGCAGGGAGCCCACTCTCAGCCCTGACCCGGCCGCAGGAACGCTGGCGGGTGAGCGCTGAGCAGTCCAAGGCGGAGTCCACGCAGCGCGCCCTGGAGGAGCAGAGGAGGGTCAAGGCCCAGCAGATGGCCATGGAGCGCGAGGAGCTGGAGAGGGCCAAGGTGAGTCCCGCCACACCACGGTCAGCTGCCACCCCTGCCATTGTGCCCAAGGATGCTCACCCCTCGCCCTCCTCCCAGAGTGCCTTGCTGGAGGAGCAGAAGTCCGTCATGCAGAAGTGTGGGGAGGAGCGGCGGCGCCTGGCAGCTGAGTGGGCCGAGTTCTTCGAGCAGCAGAAGCTGAGTAAGGAGAGGGCCGAGCGAGAGGCGGAGCGAGCGATGCAGGTGGACACCCAGCGGGAGGGCACTTTCGTCAACCTGGTCAAGGTAGGGAGGGCCCAGAGCCGCCAGCTCTGCCCCTTCCCTTCCCGGTCCTCACTGTCTGCTCCGTCGGGACGGACCAGCTTTGCAAAGGGCACGGCAACGGCATCGGAATTGAAACCGCAGTAACCATACAATGACGGCTTCATTCTGCTGTCCTGGGTGCTTTCTACACAGGGCTCCTTCAACTGCATCACGTCCCCGAGACGGAGATGTTCCAGAGATAGGGAAGCTGGGGTTTAGAGAAGTTGGGCCCGCGGTGGGGGCAGCCCCGAGGCTCGGCCTCAGGCCTCCGTGACCGGGCCCCCTTACATCACCACCTCCTCCCAGGGTCAGAGTCAGGGTCAGGGTTAGGTGGAGCCACAGCAACAAAATGGGCAGGGCAGGGGCTCCTTGAACCCTGAGCAGAGCCCACCTCAGCTCCCGAGAGGACAGTGCAGCGAAGACTTTGCCATCTCCAGGAGCAGGCAGAGCTGAAGATCAGGGCCAGCGAGCTGCGGACCAAGGAGGAGCAGCTGGCAGCGGAGAGGGAGGCTCTGGAGCGGGAGCGGCAAGAGCTGCAGCTGGAGAAGGAGAGGGTCAGCGCCGCCGCCCTGCGCATCAGGCTCCGTGCGGAGGAGGTGGAGAGGATGAGCCAGGTGCCGGGCAGCTCAGCTCGGGGTGGGGCTGGAACTCGGGCCTTCCCTGGCCTCAGCCAGCAGCCCGGCTGACCCGGGTGGCCTCCCTGCAGGTGGCCTCAGAGAAGTACGAGGAGGGGGAGCAGGCGCTGCGTGAAGCCCGGCAGGTGCAGTCGGAGCAGCAGGCCCGGCTGCAGCTGGTGCGGCGGCAGCAGGAGTGGCTGCAGCAGCAGGAACAGCACGTGCACCAGGCAGGGCCCCTCCCAGCGCTGGCTCTCCCTGCGGTTTGGGGGGTCACACTGGGGCAGTCCGCTGACCCCCCTGTCTCCAGCCTCCAGCTCTCACATCCGTGTCCTTCTCTCTGGGGGCGGGGACAGGAGCATCTGAGTCTGGCCCAGCAGAGGCTGCAGCTGGACCGTGTCCGACAGGACCTGCCGTCGGGCCCTGTGGGGCTGTTCTCCAGGGCCCAGGGCCTGGCAGCCTCCGGCCCGAGTGGTAAGTGGCCCCAGGAGGACTGGACTTTGGCCAGTGGGCGGGGCAGTGCCAGGAGCGTCCCGCCCACGCCTCCCTCTGCTCAGATTCGGGGGTTGGCCGGGTTTTCCGGTCATCTTGTAACTACTGTGTACACAAGGAGTGCGTGTTCATTATAGAGAATAAATTTGAAAGTAGAGGGAGGAAAAGTCTTTTTACCTTCACCTGAGAACATGCTTATTTATTTTAGAGAGAGGGGAAGGGGGGAGAAAAACATCAGTGCCAGAGAGAAAACATCTGATCAGGGACTAAACCTGGAACCTAGGCATGTGCCCTGACCCAGAATTGAACCGGCAACCTTTCGGTGTACGGGACGATGCTCCAACCCGCTGAACCACCCAGCCAGAGCAGGAAACTCAAAAATGTCACTCTCAACCCCACTCTCTGGAGAAAACCCCTTTTAACACACGCATAGTGTTCTAGGCTGCCGTGGGTGTGTATTTTTTTTTAAGATTTTATTTATTTGCTTTTAGAGGGAAAGGGAAGGAGAGAGAGAGGGAGAGAAACAGCAATGTGTGGTTGCCTGTCATGTGCCCCCTACTGGGGACCTGGCCTGCAACCCTGGCCTGTGCCCTGACTGGGAATTGAACCCGCGACCCTTTGGTTCGCAGGCTGGCGCTCAACCACTGAGCCACACCAGCCAGGGCGAGTGTGTGTTTTTAAACACAAAATTGACATCACGTATGCTGTTTTGTGCCTTGATTTTTTTTTATTTGGAAATACACTTATGGAGCAGGCTTTCATTCCTGTAATTAAACATTCAGCCGTACTTTAGATCAGTATAAGTTTCCACTATTTTTAATGGAAATTAAAAATAAGGAGGCTGTTCCACATTTTTAGATTTTCTACTAGGTCATTTTTTTGTCACTAAGATAAACAGCATGTCGGTGGAAATGCGTTACATCCATCTCTGCACCTCCACCTGACTCTGACCCTTGAGTAAGTTCCTAGCACTGGACTTGCTACGTAAAATCCCACAAGCAGTTTCAAGGGGTTCTGCGAGTTGGTGGGTATGCCCAGAAGGCTGGTGCTGGCTGCCTCCGAGTTTTGGGGGTGAGCAGGCCCCAGAGAGACGGGCTGCGGCCATCCTGCCGCCCACCGACGCCTCGGCCCCTCACTTCCTCCTCAGGCTTCTCAGCCGTGGTTCCCGCCCCCGCCAGTCCTCAGGGCAGCCGGCCGCCCGCCAGCCTGGGCCCCTCGCTGCTGCACGCCAAGCTGGTGCTGCTGAAACACACAGCGGAGCAGGTGAGCATCCCGAGCGGAGGCGACCCTGGCCTGTCACTCCCCGTCGCGGTCACACTGGTGACAAGCAGCCCAGGGCGCGGGCAGAAACGAGCACATCCTGGTGGGGTGATGGCTGAGCCCACCCCCGGGGGAGGACAGGCAAGCAGATGGCGTAGCCGCCACCATCTCTGAGACCCGTCCTGTAGGCCAGGCCCTGTTCGGAGCCATTGCCTCTGTCATCTCAGTTGAGTCTCACAGTGACCCTGTGACAACAGTGGTGGCAGTCACCACTTACAGAGCGTTTCCTGTGTTCCAGGCTCTGCACGGAAAACTGTGTGCACTAGAAGCCTTGCCTCTCCCCCGCCCTGCAAGGCAGGTGATGGCATGTCCAGTTTACAGACGGGCTCAGAGAGGCGCAGTCACGTGCTAGCGGGGGCCTCTCACTCCAGTGCGCGTGTCCTTCCCTGCCCCCCGGCCCCAGAGCCAGGGAGTAAGTGGGGGGCGCCCTCAGTAAGGGCCGACTGGGCTACCACCCAGGGGTCCGCCACGCTCTCAGGCCCCCGCCGCATTCCAGGACGGGCCAGAGTGTGGCTGCTCACCCAGTTCTGCCTTCCAGGACCGAGACTTCTTGGAGAATGAACAGTTCTTCCTGGAGACGCTGAAGAAAGCCTCCTACAACGTGATCTCTCATTCGGCCTGAAGGCCCCACTGCCACCTCTGCAGAGGACTAGGACCCTGGCCCCGTCCCCACCTCCCCGCCGGCCGCCAGCTCCGGGGAGGGGCCGCCCGGACCTGACAACAGCTCTGCCTGCGGACGGGGTGGACAGGGTGCGGGCCTCCTTTCCGAGCGCGCCCCCTCGCCGCTGAGGCGGGCAGGCGCCCCCCGTGCCTCTAGCGTCTGCGGTACGATGGCCTCTGGGGGGACACAGCGCTGAGGGTGTCTCAGCTCCAACGCACCGTCAGCCTCAGCTTTGGTTCTCTTGCGCTGTGGACGTCCAGCTCAGACCCCAGGACCTGACTGGGCTCCGTGGACCCCGGCCTTTGGGGGGTCTTCTCAAGGGATGCCCCAGCAACCTTCCGCCCTCTCCGCCCGAGAGGCCGGCAGAGGCAGCACCGTGTCCCGTCCACTGTAATGGGGTCAGGGAGTGGGACCACACGTTTGGAAGGATCTTCTCTCCTGCTGGTCAGGGGCGGAGGGTGAGGGGCGGGCAGGGTGCCGTGCCTGGCCAGCCTTGACCTCACAGCCAGCCCTTCACGCCCTTGGGCGGGCTCACGCCAAGGCCCCGCTCGTTCCCACCTGCCTGAGTGACCAGCTTGGCGTGGTCACTGGCCTTGTCGGCTTTTCCTAATAGGCACCCCGGAGGTGGGGGTGATGGGGGTGGGGGTGATGGGCGTGGGGGAAGGGCAGGACACGAAGGCTTCTCTCGTGCTGTTCACCCACCACAAGGCCACAGCTGGGGGGGGGGCGATCAAGACGACAGAGCTGGGGAACCCTGAGGGATACACCCAGGATGCCCCCCCCCCAGGCGGTGTGGGCCAAGACCAGCTGGAGGGGAAGGGTGGGAGTCACAATTGCTTGTCAAACGGCTTCTTCAGGCACGCAGTGAACTGAGCAGAAAGTGTCCCAGTGAGCAGGGAGGCGGAGGAGGGGCCGAGGGCCCCAAGGGTCGGTCTGTCCTCCGTCTCAGCACAGCTTCCAGGGCGGCCTTCCTGCGCCCCCAACAGCTCCCGAAATTCGTCTTGGACCTTGAATTGCTGTACAATTTTTTTTTGAAATGCACTGTTCATTTCTTGCCATACATGATTCCGAGACAGCCTTTCTATTTTACAGTTTCAGTTTCACTCTATGTATGTGTCCACAAATAATACACAATATTGATTTTTGTGTTTAAAAACCTATCTAGCCCTAGTCGGGTAGCTGGTTGAAAGTCATTGTGATATGCCACAATGGGTCGTGGGTTCCGTCCCAGTGAGGGCGCATGTGCAAGAACCACCCAGTGAGTGCATGAGTCAAGGGAACAGCAAATTGATGTTTCTCCCTACCCGCTTCCTCTCTAAAATCAACAATTAAAACATCTTTTAAAAATCTAAATAGCCCTGGCTGGTGTGGCTCAGTGGATTGAGTGCCGGCCTGCAAACCAAAGGGTCACCTGTTCGATTCTCAGGACACAGGCCTGGGTTGTGGGCCAGGTCCCCAGTTGGGGGTGCTCAAGAGGCAACTGCACATTGATGTTTCTCTACCTTCCTCTCTCCCTTCCCCTCTGTCTAAAAACAAATAAAATCCTCAAGAAAGAATAAAAATAAATTTAAAATTTCTAAATCTAAATAGTATTGTATACATTGTTTTGCAAACAACACTCACTTTATTTTTTTTTATTTTCTCACTTTATTTTTTTATTTTTAGAGAGAGGGTAAGGGAGAAAGGGGGAGAGAAACATCAGTGTGTGGTTGCCTCTCACCTACCCTGCACCCGGGACCTGGTCTGCAACCCAGGCACGTGCCCTGACTGGGAATCGAACCAGCAACCCTTTGGTTCATAGCCCCTGCTCAATCCACTGAGCTACACCAGCCAGGTCTTTTTCTCACTTTTTTTTTTTCATTCATGCTATTTCATATAGCTCCAGTTTGTGAACTTTAACTGCTGAACACTATTTCATTCTTTGACTATAGCACAATTTATTCATTCTGCTAATGGACTCTTAGGATGTTCCCAGATTTCCGTATTATTTACAATGCTGTCACACACAGTGCTATGCACGCCTCTTTGGCACATATGTAAGCACCTCTCTAACGTAGATACCTAGAATTTCTAAGTCACAGAGTATGTGCTTAACCTCACTAGTCAAGTTGAAGTAGTTATTCCCAAATTGCTCTCTAAAGCAGTTGGACCAATTTACACTCCAACAGTGGCAGCCAGGCCACGGGGGAAAAGGCGAGGAGTGGAAGGCAGAAGTGACAGCACTTGCAAAGGCCCTGTGCCCAAGGAAGCAAAGTGCGAGTAAGTGAACATAAGACGGTGTCGTGGAAGCTGGCGTACCAGCGCAGAGCCAGGTCGCTTACACTGCGGTGTGGACAGATACTAGTAAATTGGAGGTGATCCAAAGCTAATTACCCGTACCACGGCAAGTGCTTTATATTACTTTTATTTATTCAATCCTCTAACAACCTGAGGTAAGGACTACTGTTACCTACTTTTTTCCCAAATAAGGCAATGCCAAGGTGCAAGAAAGGTCACACACAGCCAGTGTACGCACCTCTCCCCTGCCCCAGCCCCACTGGGGGCGCTCGGGATGCTGCCTTCTGGGCGTGGGTCCAGAGCCGCACCGCAGCTCCGCGAAGGGCAGACCTCCGCGCGTGCTGGTAGCTGCCTGGCCCAGTCTACCGCCCTCGGTCTGTGACGACCCTTGGTGGCCGGCCGCAGGCAGGCGACACGATCGCTCGCAGCTCCGCCCCGTGGTCCACCCGGCACTTCACGGACCAGTGCTCCCAGGACCCGCAGCCGCCTCCGGCAAGGAAGAAAGGTCGTCGAGCTCCAGGGAAGGAGGAGTCGGGAGCCTCGGCACCGGCAAGGCTCCTAGGACCTCGGCTCGGGGGCGGGGCTAGCGGGGCGGAGCCTCCGCGGCGCACTCCGGCGCTGTGCCGGCCACCCCTGCGGGGTCCTAGGGGCGGGGACGGTGAACCTGAGGAAAGATGGCGGCGCCCTGGTGGCGAGCCGCGCTGGGCGGAAGTCGGAGGTGGCGGGACTTCAGCACCTCGGGTGAGCCGTTTAAGGGTGTGGGGCTCTCGCAGGTCTCCCTTTAGCCTAATCCCTGAGACTGGAGCCAGCGCCCGCCTCGGCCTCGCGAGGCCTGGCGGTTGCCCGTCTGACGTCCCGCTCTCTGCCCGCAGCCGCGCTGAGCCGCAGGACCCCGCCACTGGGGCCGATGCCCAACGAGGACATCGATGTGAGCAACCTGGATCGGCTAGAGAAATACCGCAGCTTCGACCGCTACCGGCGCCGGGCCGAGCAGGAGGCGCGGGCCCCGCACTGGTGGCGGACCTACCGCGAGCACTTCGTGGAAGAGTCAGGTGCGGGGCGACCAGAGCAAGGGCCCCACCGGCGTCCTCGCCGAGCACTGGGGAACGGGCCGGGTCTAGCAGAATTTTTCACACCTGTTGGTCCCTCTGCTTGGAAAATTCCCTCCGCCACTATTGGACCCCAGATGTTTGTACTAAAATCCTTTCCTGGACGGTCCCCGTTTCTGGGCTCCTAGAATAGTACGTCGCCCTGGCCACACTGCATCCTTACTTTCTGGCGGCGCCCCCCTCCTCCCCGCGATGTTGAACTCACTAAGGACAGGGATCCTGCCTGTCTTACCCGTCATTGGATCCTTGCACCTGCATCACCTGCGAGGTGTGCAGTATAACAGCCCCGGGCAAGGTGACTTGGAATCCCTGCCACCGAGCAGCTGACAAATGCACCCTTTTGGAAGGCATTCCCAGAGGCAGGGTTTGTGGTGGTTAAGGGCACAGGCGTGGAGTGAAACCCAAGTCAGCCTCTTAGGAATGAGCTCCCTGAGCTTTTATTTCTTCAACCATAAAGCCAAATAACTGCGCCTGTGTCACAAAATTGTGAGGATTAAAGGACACAGTCCGATGGAATTCCTAGACAATCCATCCTTAACGAAGGGTTAGTGTGTGTTAATTACTATTGTCTCATATAAATGGGAAAAGGTGTTGGGTTAAAAGCCCTCTAGAGTCCTGCTACTCAGAAGTGTGTTCCGGGACCAGCAGCACGGGCATTACCTGGGAGCTCGTTAGAAATGTCATTTCAGGGCCCACTCGGACCTGCTGAATCAGAGTCAAATTCGTTCAATTTCCCAGGTGGCTTGTATGGCTTGTTCATTAAAGTGTGAGCAGTGCTTCTTTAAGTCCTTGTAGCGTCAGTTTTTCTACTGAGCAGGTGGTGTCTGTGGCTAGCTGTGAACAGGCCTGAAGGTGATCAATCCCAGCTGTAATTGGGAGCCATCTGCTTCCATTTCCCCTCTCCTACACGGACAGCCTACCTTGGTTTAGGAATCAGAAGATGCAATCTCAGGCTTACCCGATTTGCTTAGCAACTGGCCCCTGCTCAGGCCTGTGAGGCAGGCTACACCGTACATTATTTTCATGAATTAAAGGGGACGCTTTGGCAGCCCAGGTTGGGCAAGTGAGAGGACCACGTAGGGACAGGTGGCTCTCCCAAGGGTTGAGCCCGCTTCCTCCAACACGTCTTCCCTCCCTAGATCCCAGAGACAAGATCGACATTGGGCTGCCTCCGCCCAAGGTCTGTCGGACCCAACAACTGCTGGAGCGCAAACGGGTCCTCCGGGAACTGCGGGCCAGCGTGGAGGAGGAGCGGGCCGCCCGCCTGCGCACAGGTAAGTCCTCCCAGGGGAGAGGCCCCGGGCGCGTCCCCACCCCTACCTTGCGCCCAGACTGACATCATCCCTTCCCAGGGCGCATCCCACTGGAGGCTGTACGGGCCGAGTGGGAGCGGACCTGTGGCCCCTACCACAAGCAGCGGCTGGCGGAGTACTGTGGCCTCTACCGAGACCTGTTCCACGGTGCCACCTTCGTGCCCCGCGTGCCCCTGCACGTGGCCTACGCCGTGGGTGAGGATGAGTTGGTGCCTGTGTACCACGGCAATGAGGTCACGCCGACCGAGGTGAGTGCTGGGCTGTGCCGTGTCCCTCCCTGCGTGGACAGACACGGCCCAGTGGGGGGCCACAGACGGTCCCTTTCTGAAAGCCCTTACAGAGGAGGTTTTTATGGTCGTCAAGGGCACGCGCTTGGCAGAGACATGGCCTGAGACGGAGTTTTGTTGTCCTGTAGCTTCTCTTTTTGGTTTCCTAGTAAAGGGCATTGTGATAATTACCGAACAGAAGAGCACAAAGGGGACACAAAAGCAGCCGCATCCTGGCCGGCCGCTCGCCATCTTCAGGGTGCCCCCTCACCCCTGTCTGTTGACCCGTGGGCCTTCTGGTGGCTCAGCCCTCTCGAGAGGCAACTCTGCACGGTTCCTTCTAGAACTTTCTCTGTGCTGGTCTGCCTCTGGAGGGGCTGTCAAGGATGTTTGGGTCAGAGTGGACTCTGCCTTCTCCAAGGCCCCCTCAGACCCCTGCTCTCCAGAAGACTCTCTTTATAACAGCCGTGTGCCCCTCCTAGGGGTGACAGCCCCCTCTCCTCCCCCCGTCAGGCTGCCCAGGCCCCAGAGGTGACCTATGAGGCGGACGAGGGCTCCACGTGGACACTGCTGCTCACCAACCTGGGTGGGTATCTGGGGCGCACTGGGCCTCTGCCTCCCTCGCCTGCCGGGATCTAGGGCCCTGGGGAGCTGGGGAAGGGGCCGGGGGAGGTCTCCGGCTCCTTCCACGGGAGCCGGGAGGGGCGGCAGGCCCTCAGTCAGTGGGTCTGTTTGTGTGCAGATGGACACCTGCTGGAGCCGGACGCCGAGTATGTGCACTGGCTGCTGTGAGTACCCGGGGCAGGGCGGCGGGCCCGGCATGGGGGAGGCCCTGGCACTGTGGGAAGGGCCGCCCCTGAATTTCAGTCTCAGATCCACTGCGGATCAGCCTCCCTCCCCTGGAGTCGGCCCCTCATCTCTGCTTCTGAGAGTGTCAGGGGCCATGAGGTCCAGCGGCTGAACACAGGTCCAGCGGGAGAGCCGGCCTCTCGGTCTCCCTGCGCTCCTTTCCTCGCCCGTAAGTCTAGGGCGGTGCGTCCACATTCCTTCGTCACCCGAGGGGCTCTGTGGCGGTCAGACGGGAGAGGGGCCACGGGAGGCCTCTGGCCGCTGTGGCCGGCCCAGGTCGGCCTGCCTTCCGTTTTCCCAGTGGCTTTTGGCTGCGAGCGCCAGGCAGGTGACCCTAGCTTCGGGACTTCCGAGTAACCGAGGCCAGTGACTGGGAGTCTGGTTTGTGTCACTTTTGTTCAGGGCGGCCGCTGCCTGTGCAGCGGGGCCTTCTCGAGGAGGTGCCGTGGCCGCCCCGGTGCCAGGCCGGGCGGACTCTCCGACACGGCCCCGCGCTTCGGGGAGCAGAGGGAGGAGCGGCTCCAGGGCGGCGTGGTCTCCCCCTGAGTGGCCGTGACAGCCCCTCCGGCTGTGCAGGGCCCCGCAAACAGGCTGCTGGGCTTGGCTCTCGTGCTGGCCGGCTGCGGGACCCTCGTCTTCCGCCTCTGAGCCCCAGGGGCTCCCAGAGCGCCCCCCCCCCACCGGATGACCTGGTGGGGATCCTTCCCGGGAGCTGCTTCGGCCTCCAGGGAGCATGTGGTGGGGGTACCGACCCGCTACTAACGGGTCACTTTCTCTCCTGCCAGCACCAACATCCCGGGCAACAGGGTGGCCGAAGGACAGGAGACGTGCCCCTACCTCCCCCCGTTCCCCGCCCGGGGCTCTGGCTTCCACCGCTTTGCCTTCCTGCTCTTCAAGCAGGACCAGCCAATCGACTTCTCTGGGGACACCCGGCCTTCACCCTGGTAACCTACGGCCCCCACGGGGCCTCCTTTCCGGCCTCAGGCCAGCCTCCCGGCGGTGGTCAGTCGTGGTCGGTCCTCACTGTTAACTCGGACCCTGAGATGGGCAGGCAGGGGAGGTGCTAGGCAGGCCCTGGGGGGGCTTCTCAGGATTGGGGGCGGGGCTCCAGTGCCCACGCGCCCCCCCTCCCCCCCGTTCAGATTCCCCCATCTTCTCGCAGTTACCGGCTGGCCCAGCGGACCTTCCGCACGTTCGACTTCTACAAGAAGCACCAGGAAGCCATGACCCCCGCGGGCCTGGCCTTCTTCCAGTGTCGCTGGGACGACTCGGTCACCCGCGTCTTCCACCAGCTTTTGGGTAAGGGCAGAGTGGGCTGAAGCCGAGGGGTAGCTGGCCTGAGCTCACGGGCCTCTTCTGACCTGACGGGCCGTTCTCCCCAGTCGGGGAGAACTGGAGACGAGGCAGGGGGCTCCAGCCGAGGCAGGGGGCTCCGGCCGGCAGCAGCCCACACCCTCCCCGCCCGCTCTTCCTGCAGACATGCGGGAGCCAGTGTTCGAGTTCGTGCGGCCGCCGCCTTACCACCCCAAGCAGAAGCACTTCCCCCACCGGCAGCCTCTGCGCTACCTGGACCGGTACAGGGACAGCCACGAGCCCACCTACGGCATCTACTGAGGGGCCAGGCCGCTGCCCACCTCGGGGAGCGCCCCGGGCCTCTCAGGCCCCTCTGTCGGGCTCTGCAGGCAGGAGCCGCAAACACCCAGCTCCGGGGGCCAAGCTGTGGGGTTCTGGGCCCTGCCTGAGGCAGCCGCTCTGTGGGCCTCCCAGCAGGCCCAGGGCCTGGGGGAGAAGGGTGGCAGGGGCGGCTGTGCGAATAAAGACGATCTCTGCTGTGCTGGTCGGGGTCCGTGTCCAGGAGCAGCCAGCCACCCCCTCCCCCAACCAGTCCCCCCCTCCCCCAGCCAGTCCCGTGGAGAAGTCGGATTGCTTCACGGGTGGGAAGAGGGCAGCCTCCCACCCCAGGGGGTAGCCCCTCCCCTCTGCCCCCTGAGGGGGTCAGAGGCCCCGGGATCCCGTGGCTGTAGACAGGCCCAGAGGAAGAGCAGGCCATGGCCTGCGGAAAGAGATCTGCCAGCCCCGCGCATTGGCCCTGGGCAGTCAGTGCGATGCGGCTGTTGGCCCGCTAGCTCCAGTCACCTCAGACCTCAGGCGCCCACACCGCCGCTCGGGGCCCAGAGAGACCCTGCACCCTCCCTGGGTGGTTAGGGTATTCCTGCCCTCTAAGGGAAAAGACTGCCCTGGCTGCTGTGGCTCAGCGGATTGAGGGCTGGCCTGCGAACCAAAAAGTCACTGGTTCGATTCCCAGTCAGAGCACAGGCCTGGGTTGTGGGCCAGGTCCCCCGTAGGGGGCGCTCAAGAAGCAACTACACATTGATGTTTCTCTTCCCCTTTCTCTAAAAATAAAATCTTTTTAAAAAATTAAAAAATAGAAAAGTGAAGTTCCGAGTGCAGTCGAAGAGTGCTTTTCAGTTTCTGTTGAGGGGGTGTGAAAAAAACCAAAGGGCTAGTCTGTTGGTGACCAGAAATTTCCACTTCGCTGTTTACGCGTAGCCAAGAGAAGGGAGGCGTCCTGGTTTGGCAAATGCCTGAAACTCAACCCCAGGGAGAAGTGCAGCGGAGCCCCGCGGGGCAGGAGAGAGCTTTTAACGAGCACAGGCTGAGTTCCCCCGCTTACTGCCGGGCGCTCCCAGGGCTCTCATCCGGTCGCTAAAACGCCTGGGAGGTTGGCCGCGGTGGTGGTATTAGCTTTTCAGATGAAGGTTCCAGATGATGCCAGGGGGAGGCCGGTAGCCCACTGGGATTCCCGTCTCTACTGCCTGGGACCGGGTCCCCTGCTTGGAAGCTGCTGGACAGAGAGAGGGTCTAGGGAAGCGGGATGGAGGTCCCAGGGTGAGACGAGTGGAAACAGGACCCCAGCTCCCTGCCTGGGGCGGCTCTGAGCCTAGATGAGGGGGGTCTCGGGGCAAGATTGGGTGCAGCCGCCAGAGTGGCGGGTGGTGGTCGGCGTCCTCCAAGCAGGGTTGTCACACTCCGCTCCTTAGGCTGGTCCTCACTCCTCCCCACCGCGCCGCAAGGTTCGCGGCTCCTTTAAGAGGCCCGGCCCTCCCCAGGCGTGGCTCGGGCCTGCCCTCTGGCCCGCCGGCCGCCGCCGCCGCCATGGCCAAGGAGCTGCTGGAGGATAAGCTGACCTGCGCCATCTGCCTGGAGCTCTACGAGGACCCGGTGACGCTGCCCTGCGGCCACAACTTCTGCGGGGCCTGCATCCGGGACGGGTGGAGCCGCCGCGAGAAGGCGTGCCCCGAGTGCCGGGCGCCCTTCCCGGACAGCGCCGAGCTGTGCCGCAACGTGGCGCTCACGGACGTGCTCAAAGTGGTGCGCGCCGAGCCCGCCCAGGCCCCCGGCCCCGCCGCGGCCCCACGCGCGGACTCCCGCGCCGACGGCGGCGCGCGCTGCCCCCTGCACGGGCGGCCGCTGGAGCTCTTCTGCCGCACCGAGGGCCGCTGCGTGTGCAGCGCGTGCACCGTGAGCGCGTGTCGCCTCCACGAGAGGGCGCTGCTGGAAGTTGAGCGCCAGGAGCGCGAGGTGACACGCCGCGGGGGGATGCGGCGGGGGAGGGGGGGATGAGAGAACTCTGTGCACCTGCAGCTTCAGCAGGAGGCAGCTTTGTGATGTTTTTATTCCAAGAAGGCGGTGGTCAGAAAACAGATACTTGGAATAGAGATTTCGGAGCTGGGGACAAGCCAGGGTTATGGGAGGGAGTAGCTGAGGTGGATGGAGGGAGTCCCTCCGGGAGCCCAGAGCCTGCGTGCAGGAGGGTAATCCCTGTGCCCACCTAGCTCCCAGGGAATGAGGCCTGGACCGTACCGTTGGTGGCGTGAAGACCAAGCATTAAACTTGAGGGTTTGCAGCAAGCCAGTCAATGACAGCGACAAGGAGAGGGGGCAACAGGTGGTACAACCAGATGACCCGAGCGGCAGTGGAGCCCGGGTTTTGCTAGAGGGAGGGCAAGTGATGAGGGGCTGCGTGGGTGTCCTGTGGGGCCGCCCAGTGAACTAGGAGAGTCTGCCTTCCATTCCCCGCTGGCAGCCTGGACGAAGGCGGAGCTTTGGGCTTAGGGACATCTGATCACTTCAGCCAGACTGTCAGCTTCTCTCACCCATTTCCTCATCTGGCAGTGAGATCACACCATCCTTACCTCCGAGTGTTGCTGGGAGGAAAGGAAGCAAGACAGGTTCTTGGCCAAGTGCAGGGTACCAAATCTTGGGGGCGGGGGTCAGAGAGTTTTTGCAGCTCTCAGGAGATGACATTTTGATCTTCAAGGGCACCGGGACAGGCACAACTATATAGGAGTGTCCTCTTCCCCTTGTGCCCAAGGCCAGGCACCTGGAAAAGCCATCTTATGTATGCATTGCCCCGCCCACTCGGACCACCAGCCTGTCCCTGCAAGGCCCAGAGCAACTAGGGTTACAACCCAGAGAGGGTGGGCGCTCTGCCTGGGTCGCTCAGACTGTAAGACGGATGGAAGTCAGGTCTTCAGCCCAAGGCTTCTGTTCTGCCCCTGCACTCCCCGGTTCCAGGTGGGGAAGGGGCTTTGTCTAGACCTCCCGGGGATACTGGCCCGAATCTCCTGGGGCCCAGACCAAGGCCGGTGCTCTGTACGCTGGACCACTGGTCAGCCTCACCTGGGGCAGCACGAAGAGGGGGTGCCCGGCATCTTTGTTTGTTGATTGACTGAAGGGATACTTCACAGCCAATCCTGGCCCCTCATGTCACTCTTCCCCTGTCCCCCCGCGGGCACCACAGGCCCAGCTGAGAGCCATGCGGGAGGTCACGCGGCAGCAGGCCACCCAGGCTGAGAGCCAGCTACAGGAGCTGCAGCAGCAGCACAGCCGCATCCAGGTACAGGCCTGCCCCACCCACCCACCACCTCTTCATGTTATGTCCATCAGGTGGCCACCAGCTGGTCCCTGTGACCCTGGGCAGGAGGTATGCGCTACCTCATAAGTGCTTCCTGAAATCAGGAAGTGAGGGGCTGCACAGGGGGAAGAGGTTTCTGGGGCCCCAACTCCCCATGTCCACACCCCTCAGCCCAGTGGGGAGCTACGCCCCGGCCTGCCGTGGTGTGGAGCCGGGCCCTGGCCACCCTGCGCTTCTCCTGTGTCCATCCAGACCTCGGCCTGCAGCCTGGCTTCCAGGGTCTCTAGCAAGTTCAGCTGCCTGATTCAGGCCCTGGAGATGCGTCGGGACTTGGTACTGAGGGACATCAGGGTGGCGGAGACACAGGCGCTGGCACAGGCCCAGGAGGAGGAACAGCGACTGCAGGGCCACCTGGAGGCCGCGACTCGCTTTGACCGCAGGATCCAGGGCCTCCTGGAGCAGCTGGATGACCCGACCTTCCTCCAGGTACCAGGGCAAAGGGCGGCAGGTTGGGGGACCCGCACGCCTGCCCCTTGTACCCTGGCTGACTGCAGCTGTCCCCGGGACTCAGGAATCACAGCTCCTGCAGCCGCCGGGGCCTCTGGGGCCACTGACTCCTGCCCGGTGGGACGCAGATGAGCAGCTAGGGGGCCTGAAGGGGTGCCTGAGCCAGCTCTGCAGCCTCCTCTTGGACGAGGGCGGCCCCCACGGGGCACCAGCTGAGGCTGCTGACCTGGTTGCCATGGGTAAGGCTGCCCCAGGATCTCTTCCTACCCTGCCCGGGCCTCCCAGTGGTCCCTCCCACTGGGGGAGGGAGCAGAGTCAGCCCCCCCCCCCCCAGTGAGCTCCCTTCCTCCTCGCTCCCCTAACTCTGCTTTGTCCCCTAGAGGCCCCGGGTGCCCTGGCATCGGCCCCAAGCCCAGTGTGTCCACTGAGGAGGAAACTCTGGCAGAGTAAGGAGGCTAGGGGCATGTGTGTGCGCGTGTGTGTGTGTGTGAGCGCGTTGTGCACGGATGTGTCTGTCTGCACGTGCACGTGTGTGTGCTCTCGTGAGTGCGTGTGTGTGCACATGCTGTGACTGTCCCATCCGTGCCCTTCCCTGGGACTGTCCTCGCCCCCCCCCCCACACACACACCTGTTGCAGGTGGGGCTTCCAGGTATGGTGTTTCAGGAGATTGCAGGCACACACGTCTGGAATCAGTTGAGATTTTTCCACTGTTCTCAAGTTAGGGTACCTTCCCAGACCTCCACTCTGTCCGCTCTGTCTGCTGAAATGAGGCTGACGGAGGCTCCGCCCGCGAGGTGGCCGCTGCCCGCTCGCTCACCTTCCGTCCATCTCTCCCTGACAGATTACCGCAATCTGACCTTCGACCCCGAGAGCGCCAACCGCCACCTGCACCTGTCCCGGCAGGCCCAGCAGGTCAAGCACTGCCGAAAGCCCCGGGGCCCGGCCGAGCAGGGCAGCTTCGAGCTCTGGCAGGTCCAGTGCGCCCAGAGCTTCCGGGCGGGGCGGCACTACTGGGAGGTGCACACGTCTCAGCACTCGGTGACAGTGGGCGTCGCCTACCCGGAGCTGACGCGGCACAAGCTGGGGCCCCACACGGACAACATCGGCCGCGGGCCCAGCTCCTGGGGGCTCTGCGTCCAGGAGGACAGCGCCCAGGCCTGGCACGACGGGAAGGCCCGGCGCCTCCCGAGGGTGTCGGGGAAGCTGCTGGGCGTGGACTTGGACCTGGCCTCTGGCTGCCTCACCTTCTACAGCCTGGAGCCCAAGGTCCGGCACCTGCACACCTTCCACGCCATCTTCACCCAGCCCCTCTGCCCCATCTTCTGGCTCCTGGAGGGTAGGACCCTGACCCTGTGCCATAGGCCCGGGGCCGAGCCCCCTCCAGGGCTCCAGGAAGAGGCCTCTGGGCTTAGCTGAGGAAGGCACTGGATGGGAATCTGGGCTGGGAACAGGTGCCACTGCGCCCGTGTGCCCAAGAGCTGCCCAGCCCCTGGCCTGAGGACCTGAGGCCACCGCTATAATGGGACCAGCTGCTGGCCAGCCGACCGACTCGGGACCAGGCTGGGGGCCACTTGTGGGTGTGGGGAGGACCCCTCGCAACCAGAGTTCACTTTTCCAGCCTCTTGGAAGGGGACAGGGACTGGGAATGGAATAAAATGGGAGGCCCCCGTCCCAGGCAGCCCAGTTCTCAGTGCCGCCTGGGCCTCAGAGGCTAGGGCAGGGCCCAGGGGCTCCTGGTCCCGGAGGAGAGCGTGTGCACTGAGGTACACGCCAGGGCGTGCGGCCAGCTAGCACACGTCAGCTCAGGGCACCTCCCACCGAAACAGGGCAGACCAGGGAGTGTCGGGGTGTGGGGAGCTGGGCCACACAAAGCATTCCCACAGAAAACCCAGAGAAAGGGGGTTTTTACTTCTTCCTTCTTCCTGGTCTCTATTTCTTTTTTTTTTTTTCTTAACAGTTTGGTATATTTTGGTCTGCTACTTTGTACATCCTTGTGATTGCCATTTCATAAACAGTTGTGTTTTCTGCATTTTTCACATGATAAAAATTGTTACCAGAGTGATTACTATATAAACAAACAGTCCTTCTAGTGACTCTCAGGATTTATTTACACATTACTGGACACTGAAGTTGTTTTATTTAGGGCCATAAAAATATTGCCGCAATGAATTTTTTTGAGCAGGGAGCTTTTTGTACAAGGTAAAGTGGAATTGCTCTGTAGAAAAACAGTGAGCCAAGCCCTGGCTGCGTAGCTCAGTGGATTGAGCGCGGGCTGTGAACCAGGCAACGCAGGTTCGATTCCCAGTCAGGGTACATGCCTGGGTTGCAGGCCATGACCCCCAGCATCCGCACATGGATGTTTCTCTCTCTCTCTCTCTTTCTCCCTCCCTTCCCTCTAAAAATAAATAAAATCTTTAATAAATTAAAAAAAAACGTACAGTACCAGGGGCACTGGAAATATGGGGGCGCTTCGTAAAGTATATGATTGTCTCACCACCATGCCGTACACCTGAAATTCATACAAAATAATATTAAATGTAAACCATAACTGAAAAAAAATTTTTAAAGTTAAAAACCCCCTGAAAGTTAATAGATAAATAAAAGACAGGGGCTTAGGGGCCGGTGGAGTCGGAGGGTGTTGGGGTGGAGGTGGGAGAGGTGAGGGGTGGAGCAGAGGCTGCTCCGAAGGAAACGGGACTCCGAGTACCTGCGGTCCAGAAGACGGGGGAGCCGGGGCACCTCTGCGAGATGCCCAGCGGAAGGATACCTCCGCGGTGGGAGGGGGCCACACCCAGCCAAGCTGCGGGCCAGGGCTGGGCGCTGAACCGAGGCCTTCGCAGGCGCCCGCACCTGCAGTCTCCGGAAGCAGCTCCCGGGGGACTTTCCAAAAGGGAAGAGGTGAACCGGTGAAGGGAAAGGCAGACCTGGGATCCACACAGTGGACATCGACCCGAAAGAGAAGGGAGCGAGAGTCTAAATCTCCTTAAGTCCCAGCCCCCCACGCCCCGCACCGCACCCACACACAGGCTGGAGGCGCCTCCCACGTGCTCTCGCGGTGTGGGCGGGACCTTGGTCTGCGCAGGAGCCTGGAGTGGGCGAGGCACAGGACCTGCCGTTTTTATTAGTTATAAGCCTCATTGTCCACTTTTAAAACACTCTGGAGATATGATTGGAAATAAACGCAAATCCGATTTTTTTAAAAGTACGTCAAAACATTTTGAAGAAGAATATGGTTTGAATCCCTTTTCAGCTTCTTTCAAAGGTGCAAGCGAAGTTAGGATGGCTTGTTAATTACTCTCATTGGTTGGGCTGCTTTTGCTTGTTCCCTTTTTGTTTCTGTTCAACCTTTAAAAAACAACAACAACAAAACCCAATACTGCAGCCCTGGCTGGTGTGGCTCAGTGGATTGCGCGCAGGCCTGTTAACCAAAGGGTCACCGGTTTGATTCCCAGTCACAGCACATGCCCAGGTCCTCAGTAGGGGGCGCCCAAGAGGCAACCACACATTGATGTTTCCCTCTTTCTCCTTCCCTTCTCTCTCTCTAAATAAAATCTTAAAAAATATATCTTTAAAAAAAAAAAAAAGCAAAACTGCAGCCAGACAGGCTCCCGTACAAGATTTAAGATTATTTGCAGCCTGCGTCTCCTGGGTTTGAATTCTTCCTCCTCCGCAGGACTAGGTATGTGCCTCGCGGCAAGAAACGGAGCCTGTCGGCATTCCATTCCCCACACACACTCCGCAACCCAGTCCTTGCGGGCGCGGGGGGGCGGGGCGAAGAGACGTGGGCGTGGTCACGCTCCAGCAGAGCTCGGAAGTGCCAGTTGCCCTTTCCCCTCAAGAGCCAACTCATTTAAAAAAGAACGACCATACTGGGCAAGCCACTTGAAAGCTGTGCCACTGCGAGTGAACTATCAAAACGCCCCCACCCAGACAGATCCAGTCTCCACGCCTTCCTGGGGGAGCGGATTCTCCTGAGCCAGCAGTGGCGGGGACAGAGGGCCAGCCGGGACTCACCCCTGAGCACCCCGAGCCCGAGAGGCACCCCTGACCCCTCCAGAATGGGCCCGTGGTCTCCGCAAATCCGGGCAGCCTGGCTGCCAAGCCGCGGAGCGGGGTGGTGCTGATGCCCGAGCCTCTGAACCGTCCTGGTCTTGGCGAACCAGGGCGGGTGATGGTCACGGGCTCCCTGTGGAAAGCGACGTATGGAACTCATTACCCGCCTCGCTGCCAAACTGGGCACGCCCAGGCCCTCCCTCGGCTACTCCTTCTGCCCTGAAGATCTTCCCGTCCTGGTTTGTGGGCGCCTGAGTCCCTGCAGTCGGCCGTGAAAGCCCAGCTAAATGTCACTTCTTCCATGAGGGCCTTCAGGACGCCCCCTCCCTTTCCCGTGAATCAGTCCCGCGGGCAGGAGCGGATGACGCCTCTCTCGTAGCAGTTCACAGATCTTAGTTTCCTTCCCTCCTCCCAGGGAAGATGTCGGGAGGCGTTGCATGGCGTATTTCTAAATTAGACTCTTCCCCGAGGTCTTGAGGAGAAAGTCTATCTTCATGTTCATTGTCCTCCAGCCGAAATGGAGCATTATCTCTCGGTTACAAGTGGAGAGGAGACACCACCGTGCTATCAGCAATACTTGTGACTTGTCACTGACAGAGAGTAGATACTGTCATAGCAACGGTGAAGTACTATTTACGTTCATCACTGTTACAGCAACTGTTAGGCCTCGAGCAGATCTTGTTATGTATCGTGTTAAAGGAACACATATATAACATTATCACAAAATTTTTTTTTAAAGACGGTCTTTACTGACAGTGCTTTCTTTTTTTAAAGATTTTATTTATTTTTTAGAGAGGGAAGGGAGGGAGAAAGAGAGAGGAAAACATCAATGTGTGGTTGCTGGGGGCCGTGGCCTGCAACCCAGGCATGTGCCCTGACTGGGAATCGAACCTGCAACACTTTGGTTCACAGCCCGCGCTCAATCCACTGAGCTACACCAGCCAGGGCTACAAATTTGTTTTCTTAGCGTTTCGTGCCTGCGTTTCAGGGTAACTGGTTTCCACGGCATCCCATGGGTTTGCCTTTGTGCATCGGAAAGTGTGACTCTGAAGACGGCTCTGCAGGCTGCACCAGGCTGCGAGGGGGGCCTGGGCACGAGAGACAGGGGCAACCCCTGCTGGGGACGGGCCACCCCTCACCGCTTTGTTCCTTCCACTTTGGGGTCTCATCAGCAAAGGGTCTGCAGGCCTTGGGGTGCACAGACCTGCCTCAATTGTTCTATTTTTTTTTTAATTTTAGCATAGCTATATGTTTAAAGAAAAGTCACGAAGATAATTCAGAGTTCTCATGTCTCTCACTCCCAACACCCCTTTTGTCAACATCGTACATGACTGTGGTGTATGCCCGCCCCAGTTCAAGAGCTTACGTGGGTGTATTCTCACGCGTCGTATTCCACAATTCGTTCGCATGTCCTTACTTTCCCCCCAGTGTCCTGTTTCTCTTTCAGAAGCCCACCCAGGGGTACACATCATATTTAGTCGTCACCTCTCCTTAGTCTTGGCTTGGCTGTGACAGTTCCTCAGCCTTTCCTTGTGCTCAGTGACCTTGACCGTGCCCAGGAGTGCCGGTCAGGTATGATGTAGACTTTCTCCCAGGTGGGATTTGTCTGATGTTTTCATCATGATTAGAAGGGAGGTATGGGGTTTTATCAAGGGTGCTTATTATCAATAAGACTTATCACTATTGATGTTGAACTTGACCCCCTGGCTGAGGCCGTGATTGTCAGGCTTCTCCACTGTAAAGTCCCTCTTCTGCTTCCCCCTGGGGGGAAAGTTACTCCGCACAGCCCCTACTCAACGGTGTGGGCAGTGAGCAGCCCACAGAAGTTATTTGGACTTCTTCTGAATGGGAGTTCTGTCTCTTCTCCCCCAGTTATTCGTGTATCCAGTCACTTGTTTCAACACGGCACACATGGGTGTGTATTTTATACTCTGGGTTGTAACCCAACGTTACTTCAGTTATTTTCTTGCCATTCCATTTTCGTAAACTCCACATTATTAAAGTATAACTAACACACGATAACATGCACCGCTTGAAGTGCATAGTCAGATGGACCTTAACTAACGCCTCCACGAGGGGCACCCCCACCCCCAGCCCCAGGCACATGCAGGTGTTCACGAGTGTCCATGGCCTGGGACTGAATTCCTCAGACAACAGCTTGGAGGATGACATCAACTTCCCATTTCCGGTGCAGAAAAGTCCCAGTTCCCCACCAGGGTATGCAGAGCCACTGAGGGGCAAAAACGTGCGCACATCAGCAGTTATTTTTCTCTGCAGTCAGCAGCTCGGGAACTCTGCTCGTGGTGCAGGGCAGGGGCTGGAAGACGAAGGTGCCGGCATGACACAGTGGGCTAGCCCGTGCCGGGGGGAGGCTTGGAGCGGTAACGGAGGGCTGCACTCCTTCCCAGCTTCCTTCCAGCATGTTCCCCCTCGCATTCTCTGCCCTCCGCCCTCTCTCACGCACACCTTGCAGCAGCGCCCGCCCCCCAGGAGCCTTTCGGAGTCAGGCTGGGCCCAGGGGCCGCTCAGCGCCGTCAGAGCTGGGGCCTGGTGTCGAGAACCCGCGGGCTGGCGGGCCTGTGCCGCTAGGGGGCGGCCCGAGCTGAGGACAGGCTGGGACGGGACCCTTGGCCGGGGTCCCAGGGGGCGGCGCCCTGGCGCGAACGGTCTGGTCCCTCCCAGGCAGGAGCAGAGCAGGCGGTGCCGGGGCGGCCGCGGAGCCATGGACGGTAGCGGGCCCTTCAACTGCCCCATCTGCCTGGAGGCGCTGCGGGAGCCGGTGACGCTGCCCTGCGGCCACAACTTCTGCCTCGCCTGCCTGGGCGCGCTCTGGCCGCACCGCGGCGCGGGTGGAGCGGGCGCACCCGGAGGCGCCGCCCGCTGCCCACTGTGCCAGGAGCCCTTCCCCGACGGCCTGCAGCTCCGCAAGAACCACACGCTGTCCGAACTGCTGCAGCTCCGCCAGGGCTCGGGCCCAAGGCCCGAGCCCGGCCCGGCCTCATCCCCAGCTCCATCCCCGGAGCCCGCGACACCCAGCGCGCCGCCCAGCGCCCCAGAGCCGTCGGCTCCCTGCGCGCCTGAACCGTGGCCCGCGGATGAAGATCCAGTGCCCTGCGACGCGTGCCCCGAGGGCGCCGCCCTGCCCGCCGCGCTCTCCTGCCTCTCCTGCCTCGCCTCCTTCTGCCCCGCACACCTGGGTCCTCATGAGCGCAGCCCCGCGCTGCGCGGTCACCGCCTGGTGCCGCCGCTGCGCCGGCTGGAGGAGAGCCTGTGCCCACGCCACCTGCGGCCGCTCGAGCGCTACTGCCGC